ACGGCGGCCTGGGCGGCGGCGCTGCGCGAGGCGAACGGAGGGCGCCCGCTCAAGTTTGCCGTCGTCTACTCGGGGTTCCGCGCCGCGGACCCGGACCTCGCCTGGCTGTTTGAGCCCGCGATCGCGACGCCGACGCTGCATATCCTCGGGAGCCTTGACACGTCGGTCGACGAGGCCCGGAGCCAGACGTTGATCCAAGCCTGCGAGGGTCCTCTGGTCGTTACGCATCCAGGCGGCCATCATGTGCCTGTCGCCAAGGAATGGGTCATGCCCTTGGCCGGCTTTATCAAGCAGCACGTACATGATAAGGAAGTAAAGGCAGAGCTATAGAATGAGTTTCAAGTATAAAGTCAACGACATGCACCGACATAGAATAGATTAGAAGGAGGCCCCAATCACATTTCACGTTTAGACTGGTTTATTTGTCTCTGCCATCACCCTTCTATATCCCGGCTATCTGTACAATTACACCACCTAAACAGTCTCGCCCCCTGCTCCTACTACTCTATTTTGCGCTTGTAGGTTGAATGCGTGCCATCATCTCTTCCTTGGTAATAAGGTGATCAATTCTCTCCAGCAGACCGAGCAGGCTCTTCATGTTGTGGCTCCATTCGTTCAACACATCATCAGCATCCCTCGGCTTAGAGAAGCTGACGATGCGAGCTGGGCGGTCAATTCTCGCGTACACTGTCTTTGACGTGACCAGTTCGCTAATATACTTTTCCGTCTCGTCTTCTGTGAGGTCGAGGAGCTCGGTGAGACGACCCATCTGGATGCGGGTATAGTACTTGGCCACAACACGAACATTGTGCTCAATGACGCGTTTGCGAAGATCTTGCCAGCGCTGGTGCGCCTTTTCGTCGGATGAGCTGTTCTTAGCATCAAAGACGTCGGTGCCACACAGGTGTGGGCCAAACTTTTTCGCAACCTCGGGCCAGCGCATTAGCTCATGGATAGTGAATAGTCGTAGAAGCTCAGCATCCAGAGACACTTGAGCATTGCGTGTGTCTTTGTGAACGCGGTGAAGGAGGTCGTGTTGCTCATTATCATATGGTGCCAGAATGACAAAGTAGATGATTCGTTGCAGGACCTATTTTGTGTTAGCGGCGGCAGTGAAGGGTAAGGCTAGAGTTATAGACATACGGGGTGAAGCTTTGCAGAGTCGTTCTCGACAGCTTCTGTATCAAGGACCTGTCTGTAGTTTTTGCAGACCTCTAGATACTTGTCGTCATGCTTGGCCAGCATGATCTGTTGCTCGTAGTAACGGAGCTTGAGGTCAGTCGTATCATCCTCCTTCTCCTCGGGAACCTCTTCACCACGAGCTCTCTTCTTCTCGCGCTCCTTGGCCTCCTTCTCAAGGTCCTCGGCAGTCTTCTTGGGCTTGCGCGAGAGGTACTTTGTGCTAATCTTGCGGCCAAGGATGCCTGCTTGGGTCCAGTCGCCATTTTCAATGCAGAGCGCGACTTGGGCGAGGATAAATTCGGTCTTCTCCCTGCGATCCATGGAGCCAAACGTCTCGACTTGCAGCTCGCACAGAATTTCTGTGGCGGCCTTGAGGTCACCCTGCTGCTTCTTGATATCTGAAAGAATCTTGGTAACGCGAGCGCGCTCGACCTCGACGAAAATCTTGCCCTCGGTGACGGTTCTCAGAGTCTCAATGACGGAAAGCTTCGTGGTCAGGTCGGGGGTGTCGTCGAGGAAGCTGACGACGGTCTGTACCATCTTGGTGATGGCCTGCTTGAGCTGGCTGTGCTTCTTGGAGAGCACGAGCGTCTGCTCGTTCAGTAAGCTCCAGTCGCCCGCATTCTTGCATAATGTGACGATAGCGATGAGAATCCGCGACGTCGAGGCCAGGTCGGAAGCCTATGAGATTCGTTAGCAAGCAGTCTCCAGTTCGCCACCTCGTATATTTGTACCTGGCGTGTTTGTTTCTCGAGGGCGGCGAGCTTCTCGATGGCACCTTGGAGGTTACTCTATCATATAAATTAGCAACCAGATACAATGAAACTTCTGCGATGCCAGGGATACTAACGGAGGCGAGCTTCTCCGCCTCAGGAAGCTGCGCGTCAACCTCCTTGGAGAAGTCCTTCTCCGGCTTCAATGTTCCCTCGGACATGATTGCGGCGCTGGGGTCGCAGTCGCAAAGTGTCGTGTAGTGACGTTGGTGGTATTATCTAGCCGAAAGTCAATTGGAGATATGACTGTCGCAGATTGGAAAAGGTGATGTTGTTGTTTGACGCTTGGGGACGAATTCGCGATGGTTGGAAGCTTGCAATGGCCTTGGTTCCTACCTAACTAGTGCTGCATCTGACGGAGCCCACCACCACCACGCAATAGGCGCCTGCCTGCCTGTCAGCCCGCGCAAGCACCACAGAGCTGTTGCGGGACCAACTGTTAATCCGGTGGAAGCATCTGGCCAGAGTCACGTGCCGTTCGGCTCGAACTCGTTGCTGTAGTTGGATTTTGAGCTATAATATGAAAAGAGAGTATCTATTGGCACTTGATTTTTCAATTAAATTGCTATTAGGTTTTTTCCTTCCGAGTCTCAATTTCCAGATTGCCCCTGTGGTGATTGGTTCAGAGTTGCTGTCGACTCCAAGAGTGTGGGCGGAAGCTGTTCCATTAACATCGCGCAAGTGGGGTATGTTCTTCAGCATCATCTCTTGCAAGGGCGTGTACTGCCGCTTCAAATAGTATTTTCGGCATATTTGCATTTATAATTTGTGTCCAGCATTTCGACCGTTTATATGTTTTTCTCTATATCTATGCAGTCGGCTCGGCAGCAGCTGGCGCCGCGTCGGCCTCCGCCACGGCGCCCTCAGCCGCGTCAGCGGTAAGCTTGGGCCGGCCGGGAAATCGACTTCCCTTGTCCTTGACCTTCTTCACCTTCTTCTCGGGTAAAGGTGGAGGGTAGGCCTTGAGGGTGATGTCTTTCCACTCTTGCGAGCTCTCGAAAGCGGCGCGGATAGGCGCAGTGAGATCGACAAGCGCCTGGGCAACGGCGGGCTTGAGAAATTGGGGTGTAAGCTGAAATTGGTCGGTGTTAGTAGAGTTTTGGGTTCATGATAAGGGCCTGGGCCCGTATATTAGGCGACAAACCTTGTCGTTCTTGTAATCTTCGTGCATCTCCTCGATGCTGGTGTACACCAGGGGCGTGTCGTCGCGGCGAGAGACGACAAACTCCTTCTTACCCCTGAGGGCGGCAGCAGGAAGCAGCACGTACTCGGTGAAGGCGAGAACACCGTTACCCTCGACAACCTTGGGGGCACATTCGGCCTTGCTAATCTTCTTTCGGATGGCGTCCTCGGTGTCGAGCAAGTCAATCTTGCTGTCTGTAGTGGTGTGTCAGAGCCATTGTATATTGCATTCGAATGTTGCGAGTCAACTCACTGGGGTCACTGGAGCTCATCTTGGCACCCTGGAGACCAGGGACCAGCGGGTTCATCAAGTGAGCCCGCTCTCTGTAACCGAGCTTGGGCAGCCAGTCCTTGGCCGCAATGAATAATTTTCTTTGATCCATGCCTACAAAAAGTCAGCACAATCCAGTCGCGAAGCGGCAGAAATCAATCAATGGTGGGCTGTACCGCCAAACTGTGCGTCAACATCCAGATACTGCTCGTCGAGGATCTGGAGGACGGGGTAGAGCAGGCCGCTCAGCGGGGGGTTGGCCGACTGCTTGACCGTCTCCGAGCCTGCGCGGCGGGCATCGTGCTCCGACACGACCGAGGCCATGCGGTACACGTCCATGACGTAGTCGGGTGTCTTCTGGTAGGAGCTGCCGAGCACAAACTTGAGCTTGTCCGTCGGGATGCCGACCGCCTCAAGAATAGCCGTGATCATGAAGCGGTAGTACTCCGCGCGCTGCGCCACCATCTCGATGGGCGCCTTGAGGTTGTCGAGGAAGGCGTGTATGTCGGCTAGGAGGATCGTCATCTCGCATCCGGCGGCGAGGAGCTGCGCAATCTTGATGGCCGGCACAAAGTAGCCGCAGTGCGGCGGCGCCGTGGTGGCGGTACCTGAGAAGACGCGCCTGTCAGCAAAACGGGGGCCAAGGGAACGGTCATTGGATTCGGAACGGAAGGGGCTGCTGCCACATACCCCAGTAGATTTTTGGGTTGCGGCCCTCATCGAGGATCTTCTCAAGAATCTCTTGGTTCAGCACCTCAGCCAGGTTCTCTCTGATCAGCGCCAAGCGCTCGTCTTTTGTCTGGGTGCCGTTGGTCGCCATGATTGCGCTGGGGAAAATGTGACTCGGATAGGTCGCGTAGAGAGACGTGGTAACAACAAACGCGAGCAATTGTCGGGCGTTTCGTCACTGCAATGCAACTTGTTCTCGTGAGTCAGAAATTCCTGGAGGGGCAGCTTTTCGGAGGGGTCAAAAGTGGCGGGGGCGCCGACAGCCAGAACCCGCATATCAAGCCACCATCAACTACCCTGAATTACCATACTGCTATGCTTCAAGTCTACTAGTTGGAGCCGATAATAAAGGCGGATTGTCACTTACTCGTTTTGTGATTCCTAGTTTTCTAGGGCACCATTTTGGCATCAAGCCAATTATTTTTAGCCCGATCTCTACTTTGCCAGCTCTTATTAGATAGGTACAGGGGTTACTAGGTACACAAAATACATAATCTAGTCAGCCAACTTGGAACGAGTCAGTCAACAAAAAATCATAAAGGATTGTGTACAGCCAAAAATTCCGATCAATACATATAAGCTAAGTTTTTTCCCCAAGCCCAAGTGTTTGCGCTGGCTCTTGGTCGCTCTGTATGTTCCTTCATCGCCAACCTGCCCTGCGTAGATCAGACCAAAATTCACAAACGGTCCCTGCTATTCCTGGGCGTACTAAAAAGTGCGAAGACGAATAAACTTTTGTCAGGCCCTGAAACGCCGTTATATGCGATGAGAGCTTCTATATCAGAAAATAAACGACATTGGTGAAGAAGATAAGTAATAAATCAGGGCAAACCCTCCAACCACTATGGCGCTGTTCGCACAAATCGCACAGCCGACTCGGCGAGAGCTTTCTTATGTGCAGCCCTTCGCTCTGCCATTTGGGAGCTCTCCGACACGACCGTGTCTTCAGAGCCCGCATTTGAGGATGTTGTCGTTGTAGGTAGCCATACACCCTGCTTTGTTAACACGTCCTCCGGCGGCTCAAGTGGTTCCAGCGTCATGTTGGAATCGACAGAGTCTTGTCGGTTGTCACGTCGTCTCGACATCATGTAGGATTCTTCGGCATCATTTTCTGATGCCGAGATGGCGCGTCGTCGCTTGGCAGCACGGGCAGCCGCTTCTCTTTGTCGCTTTGCTGTCCTGCGCCTTCTGTAAAGCAGGCACGTGGCCACGCACGCAAAGTACAGAAACAGTAGCAAGCATATCGGCACGAGGAATGGTGCCGCCCAGGTAAAGCTGCGGACTTTCTAGCATCGAGAGTTAGCTCCGGTGGCAGCTTTGGTTTTGGACGAAATCGGCATACCGGTTGCTTCGCGGTCCAAGGCGGCGAAATAGCGAAGCTCGCATTGGAAACACGATCACTTGCAAGCCAGAATGAGTACAGGCCATCTCCTAAACTCTCAGGTCTCCACTTGCAATATGTCGGCTGGAGGCCTACGCTATCGTATTAGTCCACATCTAAGCAGTTATGCCCGAAAAAACTGAATATCGTGGGTGGCTGTAGGATGAGACTTCGCCCATTTCGCAAGTCAGGGAGCAGATGCGAAGGGAAAACAAAAGAAGAAGATGGGATGGTTTCTCTTCAACTATTAAGCGAGATTTATTTATTTCAAACTCACTCGTGATGTTTTGCGCGACCTCATATACCACCACGCCGTCGCTCGGGTACGTGACCTTGAACAAGCCCAATGTGCCCAGTTTTGCGTCGATTGTCTCGTTCCAGTGCAAGATGAATTCGTCTCCGTTGGTAATTGTATTGTTCCAAACATCGTTTGTAAAATGGAGGCCGTGCTCTCGTCCGCCAAAATCGTCCGTTGACTGATGAATGCCAGCCATCGAGGAGAGGCCGCTCCCAGCCCGGGAGGCAACCTGTTGGCTTGGCACTGATACTTTGGCCGGAGATAGCAGATGCTGTCCACAGGCTTTTGATAGTCTTTTTGACCCGCAAATAAAAGTATACAAGCAGGGACAGCGCCATTAAGTAGTAGATAGCTGACGATGTTGGACGGCTGCGAGGTCTCACTCAGCAAGGGAGATGTCCGAGTACGGGCAGTTGCCACCAAAACAAGCTTGGGTAAACGGGGTCACGGCTCCAGAGACAGCGCCACCGTGGATACCCCGTGCTCAAACCTTGTCACACTGCAGACTTGGGCGCTGTGGGTGTGCTGGCCAGTTGGGCTCTTCACGATGACCTCGTTCCTGCATGGTGCGGTGGCCTGCTCTGGGTGCCGTGCGGCGTGTGTTGGCATTCCCACACCCAGCTGAAATGACCCCAGCCCTCTGGCAACACCCTTGGCGTTTAGACACTTGCGTGTGACGAAAGAAATGGGGATGAGAGAAAAGACGGCTAGTCGTTTGAGAAGAGCCAAAATGAATACGCGAAGATGAGATTTGGACGCCGCAGCAGAATATTCCCGCTGGTTATTACTGGCCATCATCTCGGATCCGGATCTACCTGTCGGTTGAGTCATGGAAGTATTAAAGAAGTTGCCATTTATAACCATGACCTTCATCTCTGTGTGTACGCCGATGTTGGGAGCGTGGACAACGGAGGAGGCCTTTTAGACTTTCCCTAGCTGGGCCAGAGGCAGGCGAAAGACCTATCACACCAAAACAGTAGCCGAGTATCGGCGCAAATGAACAGATCATGTGTCTCGAAGAAGTGTGCCAACATGCCGCGATGCTGTAATTGCATTCCAGCTCGTGTCCAGAGGCAGCACTATGGGTGAGACAGGACAGAGAACTGATCAACGTTCGGCTGCGCCGGAGACGATGTTAATTGAGATGGCGGGAGGAACTGGTAATAACGGTGGTGATGGTAGCAGAGAATCGAACTGACTTGTCGGGGAGAAAACAGCTTCAAAGAATGCATGGGACTTCTATCGTGTAAGTCGCTTAAAGGTGCGAATATGGAAATGCACTGTATGTACACACCGTGTGGAAGGAGCGACGCGTGAAGTGTGCGCGGGTCCTCTGTCTCCAAAACACCACTCCCGGAGACAACTGCAGCAGACTGCTTACTCAATCGCAGCTCAAATTGACGGATCATCGTGGCTGCTTCTGCAGAACAACATCATCTTCTCGTCATACGGACTCACGCTGTGGCAGATCGCTTTCAACCCTTTCCCATCCCGGAACTGGAGGCCCCCGCATTCTCAACGCCAGCGCTCACCCGGTTACCGTCATTATTAGCTCCCATCACACAACAATCCTGGGCGAAAAGTCTCACACTGTTGCATACCAGGACGCTTCAACCAAAAAAGAAACGTTTCGCACCCAAACTCTTCTCCCGCCACCGCTGCTGTTTGGTGGGCCGCCAGCGATTGCGCCCGGTTCACGATGGCCTCGTCGTCCGCGTCCTACGCCGATTGCGTCTCGTCGCTACGGACGTCGCTCAAATTCCTCGAGTCCTCTGTTGAAACGCTCGACGAGGGTGTCTCTGACTTTCCGCGCCTGATCAATGTCCTCAAGTCTGTGCGGGTATGTACCTACGCGGTGTTGTTTTCACGATGGCTTCCCCCCGCCGGCAGACTGGGTGTCTCTTGTCACTTTCCGCGCATTTCGCTTAGACTCGAAGGGGGTTTGCTGACCCCCCCTCCCTCCCGCTCTGGCCCTGTTCCCGTTCTCTCAACGCTCTACCTCTCAATATGCTGCGCGTCTCTTCCCTTGCTAACCGCTGGCATATAGCATTATGAACTGGTTCCTCAGCCAAAGCTAGCCGCTGCAGAGGCGTCTCTGCGAGATGAGATTGGCCCCTACATTGCCTTTCTGCTTTCGCGAGCAGACGCGCAGACGGAGAGGCAAGAGCGTCGCATAGAGACGCTCAAGGCTCGATCGGACCTTCAACAGGGCCGCATCGCCAAGCCTGATGCCGGCTCGGCTGCGGCGGCGCGGCAACAGAAGAATCGCATACTGAGCTCCGAGGACAAGCTACGTGCGCGAGCCATTCGGCAGCGCAAAGAGGCGCTTCGCTACGGCGTCGAGCGACTCGAGCTGGAGGTGCTGCAAAAGGAGAGGGAGCTGCGGCGGCGACTGGACAGCTAAGCGGCGCAAGTCCAGGAGTCCCAAAAGATCTATCCTCGATTCACTTATCGTCCTGCTCCTCCCAGACCTGCCATGCTCGCGTCTCGAGCAGAGCGCTTCAATTGTGCTTGGTTACCCGGATATTGACGTGTCCTGACGGGGCTACCGCCTACCTCGGAATTAAACAGGCAACATGCAATGCCGGGGCTAGACGCTGATGCAGCGATGCGCTATCACAAGATAGTGTGTGATGGGCCTACCATTGATGTCATGATACCGCCGGGGTTTTGCAAACAGCGAGTCTCTCGATGTGACATGAGATATCCCGCCGCGGCGAAACGACGGGCGTCAATGAGAAGAGATGGACCTGTCAGTCTAGTCCACCACTCACCACAAGTCGGTATGCACCGTTGTATGGCCACACATGTTGAAGAGAAAATCGCCGGTAGGAAAAGAGTGGTTTGCATGATGTATATAAGGTAGTTGCAGAAATAGTAAGACATACAGACGCATCCACAGCAACTACGATACAAGGTTTTGGTTTCCCTCGTTGCCAAAAAAAAAAAGGAATAAAAAAAAGAGGTAATAATAAATGTACTCCATCCAATACATGTCCCAGGAACCCAATATGCGCAATGGAATAAACAAAAAAAAAAGAGAGAGACGAGACAAAAAGAGGAAGAAAAAGGGTGTATGTGTAAAGAATGCTGTTTCCCGCGGTCGTGAAATCCTTCTTCTTCCTTGTCTCCTCCAAGACGTCAGAGGTAATAAATGTGTGGCAAGACAGCACCGCAAAAGAGGTAAACCAAGGCTTGGATATCAAACAAATGGGCCTATTTTTGCTCATTGCTGTGTTGCCCGGGAATCGAAAATTCAAAAACGGGCCATTTGATATAGCGCACAGCTACCGATATGCTTATAATAAAATGAGGTAGTTGCTGGGGGCGATACCAGTCTCGCCGTTTTCTTTGCGGGCTTGCCACCAGCGGCCACTGACGTCGGAAACTTCGAGGATTTCGTGCTTGGAAAAGGAGATTTCGTTGGCATCGTCGGGATTGGCGTCGTAGCTGTAGATGGCCTTGGCCTTGTAGGGGTACTCGGTGGGAGGGACGACCTCGGCGTCATGGGCAGGCTTGGCCAGGGGAACCTGGGCAGGTTGCTGACTCTGTTGGGGGGTGCTGGTGCCAAAGTTGGAGGTTCGGGCGCCAGTCATGGTGTTGCCGAGAGGGTTGCTGTTTTCGAAGCCGTTGAGCTGGGCCGAGGTGTACATCTGGGGCGGCTGGACCGAGTTGGAAGTTTCGGGGCGGCCGGTGCCGCCGTAGGCAGTCATGGGCTGGCGGTTCATGTTGGTCGAGGACTCCTTGGAGAGGGCAAAGGAATCGAGGAAAGCACGAGGCGTGGAGGAGGGCGTGGAGCCAAAGTAAAAGATCCAGACAATGTCAAGCATGGAGAGCAGGATGAAACCGGCGCCGGCGGCCTGGCGAGCGCCAATGTTGGAGTAGACGAGGGCGTTGACGCTGGAGCTGGAGAGCACCAGGCCGGCAGCGAGGTAGCTGCTGAGGGCGACGTGGTAGGTCTGGACCGCGTCGGAGGCGACGACGACAAAGACGCCAACATTGATGAAGAGGGCGAAGATGACGGCCCACCAGGAGAACTTGGGGAAGCTCTCGCTCTGAATCTGGCCTACGATGCAGGCGACGAAGCATATGAACCAGGCAAGCTAGAAGACGTGTTAGCCGAGTGCAATGGGAGGAGAGATGCGAGGCGAGGGGAGAGATTGGGGGCGTACCATGCCGACGGAGAGAGTGGCGAGGGCAAAAGGGTCACCGATGATGTTGCCCATCTGGAGGCCGCGGCGGCCATAGGACCGAGAATGTTCCATTTTCTTGATTGACGGCGAGTATTGCGAGGCGTAATTCTGCATAAGGCCTGGTTATGGGTGTTGAGGAGGAGGAGGAGGCGGGTGTGCGGCGCGGCCAGGAGAGAAAAGGCGCTCGTCAAATTAGATGAATGTGCGGTGGCTGATTTGTGGTGGTGGCGGTTGGTGCACTGTCGAGTTGGGGCGACAAGACGACTTCAAGACGACTTTATTGATTCCTGTATTCCAATCGAGGTTGTTGGTGACACGCAAGACTGGCGACTGACGATCTACGTAGTCGGCAATACGGGGGGCGTAGCTGTGGTGTCGCGAGACAGGTTGGGGCCAAGAAGGACGATGAGTAGTTGTTGCGAGGTCTCGGCGCAGCCGTTTCAGAATAGGGACAAAGTCTGGGGGGTAAACGGCGAGGGGTGAGACGAAAGGACGTGGACAAGGAAAAAAAGAGTGACGGCGACAGTCGAGTTGTTGGAAACGAAGAGGGGGTAAAAAAGGTCCAAAGCAGGACAGCATGCAACGAAAAGGAAAAAAGGTCGAGCCGCGAAAGAAGAGGCGACGGTTGGTGTTCTGGGGCAAGAAAGGTTTGCAGGAATGAGGGTCGGCCAGAACGTGTCTTGGGTCGGGCGAGGCTTCGCACAGGCAAAAGAGCCAAAGAGGGCGGGTGGTGTGGGCGCAGCAAGGCCAGTGGTGGCCGCTGTGGGGTGGTAGGAGGGAGCTTGGTAGCTGGGTACCTGGGCGCGACGCGGTCCAGCTACGGTCGGCCGAGGTACCTGAGGAACAGAGCGGCAGTGAGGGGGTGGGTAGAAGATAGAGGAAAGAAACGGAAAGGCGCTCAACCGCCTGCGTACGATTCCTGGCAGTTGATGTTGCTACTTCTTGTGTCCGTTTCTGTCCAGCGCTCTGCTTGGCGAAATGAAGGCAAGTCGTCAAGCAAGTCGAAAAGGAGGACGACAGCGCTGTTGTCGGGATGCTGGCGAGGCCGAGCAGGAAGACCAGGGGGGGGGGGTGTGTGGTGCGTGCGTGTGTGCTTCACCGGCTTGATGGAGAAACACGGCGCTGTCAGCACAGGCTGCACGGCAGCCTCAGTGGTAGAGGTACAAGGCTACTGGTAAAAAAAAACTGCCAGACAGCACTGCAGTGTGGCGTGTCTGTATCGCAACGTGACGAGGCGTCGTTGGTGGAGATGGGGCTGTGGATTTGCAAATCCAGGAACAACCAAGGCAAGTGGATGGGGCAAAAATCGGTCTGTTTGATGCAGGACTTTTTGATCAACTTGATTTGGTGGGATTGCATCTTTTGCCCGTGGAATCGAGGCGGTCGGGTCAATTAAGCGACGCGCCGTGAGGGAGTACACGTTGCGCAAAAAAAACGGGAGGACGGCGAAAGTTGGCTTGAAAGGGCGGCGCGAATGACGCCTCCCTGAAGCGCTAACCTTGGCCAGGTTAAAAAAAAAGCGGTTGAATAGGGCTGGTTTCTGGCTTGCAGAGCTTTATCCAATTGATTCGGTGTTGCGACTTTTGGTCTCGCTTTCATGTTTGTTTGTTTCCCTTGGACTGATTGACTACCTATTATCCTATGGGCGGGCGGTTGGGCGGTTGGGCGGTTGGCAAGAAAAGGGGTGTCGGATATCATCGAGGTCCGGCCGGCAGTGGAGACCCGTGGGCGGCGCAAGGGACAGGGACAACACAGGCACGGGTCGGTACAGCGAGGTCTGGTTGTGTTGATGCGCTCACCTCAGCCTGCCGGACAGGGTGTGCGTTCTGGAGATGCGTACGGCTCATTGACAACAAACACCTATCGTGAGTGGGCTGTAAGGAAGCAGATATTGGGAAATAACTATAACTATCAAATCCAGCCTTGCCTTTCCTCGTCTTCTTTTTTTCTTTTTCCTCTCGCTCGTCTTTAGCGTGCCGATGACTTGTCTCACCTAGCCACGCACCAACGGCCGAGGAATGGAGGGGGCATCTTACAGCGCCTTGGCCCTGTAAAAGACACCCTGGAAAAGGCTGGCTGACCACGGCCTGGAATGTCGCGCGCCCGCGGCGAAACACGCGACGCCACTCCAACACGAATCTATTCAATTCCCCATTACACGACTCTCAAAAGCTGGAATACCGTCGCATTGTGTACAGATAGAGCCCGACAGGAAAAAAATATGGACGCTGGGTCGTTGCGCAAATCATACCCGCCGCCATCTCAGAAACATCACCAAGCTGCCCACAAACACCCAATCACAAAGAGCCACACCCCCTCCCCCCTGCCACCCAGGCCGGGTCCGACGAGTTTGAAATGTCTAAATTTGTCGACGACTGTCTCGAATCGACAACTATCTTCCAGTTATTAACTAGAATTTATAGTTAAATCTGTTCAGCCTCACTGATTAATGTGGTGAAAGACTACGCGCTCTGTCGAGCCTGACTGAGCCTTATCCAGCCTGTTCTCTCCGCAATCCGTGCAGAGCACAATTCTTTGCTTCATAGCATTCCAACAATAACGAACCCATGTTCTTTCTTTTTACTCACCCGCCTCATCTCTTGCGGAAAAAGCCGCGGCCTGCTCTCGGAGCACGCGGTCGTTTCATGTCCGTCTCCTGCATCCAGCAGCAGCCATTCACAGGCCATTCTGCTTCCCCCACACGGTCTCGTTTCTCTTTTTTCCACATCTCCAAGGTGAACTCTCATTGACGCTTGACCAATTCTTTTTTTCTTACAAGCTCAATGCCATACGCTCAGAAACAACTAAAACTAGAAATACACCGCTCGCGAACTACTCGTTTGCACATCTCTTCATACTGCATATCCCATTGGCGGCCGTTTCATCACGACCGAAACCAAACATACTAAACTGCACGCCCTCTTTTCTTCCTTCACTCTTTCTCTTCCGCCAGTCAATCACATCTCCAAGTCCCAAAATGGCTCCTTCACCTGCATGACCTTGGCCGCACAAGACCTGCTTCCGCATCCGGGGCCGCATTGTTTGGTTCACCCGTGGCCCAGTCAAGACTCTTTTTCAGTCTTGAGTGACCCCCATTTTTTGGAATGTATTATTTCATAAATCCCATGCCGTCGCCAACCACTTTACGCGCCATTGGAATGCCCGTCCGGGCCATCTACACGTATGTATCCAGCTCGCCCGGCCTCGGCTGGCCGCCGCGCCATTTTCTCAAACAGTCAAAAACCTGGCCGCAACTGGCGTTTCGCTAAAATCAACTTCCCGTAACCACCCCACCGCATGGACAGGAATTATGGGCACTTTTCTAGAGCAGATGAGAACCCAGCCAGCCATGATTCATAGAAACAGAGTACTAGCCGCAGCACAGACATAACTCTGTCCCCTTGTCAAAAACTTTGTCTCCTTGTGCATGCTCTTCTCCGTCTGTGCGGCCATGTCCGATGCGCGACTTAGGTATGTACCACTACAGGCGGTATTCTCCGTCCGTTCCCTTGCCGTATAACTCACTCGAACATATGTCTCCCAACTCAGCTTTTGTTCGCATTGTGAGCGAGCGTTGCTCCTCTTCCAACCTCATCACCACAATCCTCAACCACCTCTTCAAGCCCAGCTATAAGCCCCGGTAACAAGAAACAAACAAAACCTTGATTGGCCAGGCGTGGTATTATTCAAAATCCAATACATTAGAACGATCACGAGTCCTGTAGTTCATGCCGGCATAGAATGCCGCTCTTTAGTCAAACAACTGTCTCATTCATGTTCTGTCCGCCTGGCTACTAGGAATCAGGTGTTTCTCTCCTTCCAGTTCCAATACCCAACCCCAAGATCGGACATTGGATGAACCATTAAAAGCTCCGACTGACCTTCCATGACGCGCCTAGAAGTGTCCCCGTCATGTGTTCACACCCCATCCATCAGAAACCGGCCGGCGACGCTGCCGTGCGTGACCGTCGAGCCAGCCTCGGAGCAGCCATCACACCCACAAGGCTGCGCACCCTTGGCCAGCCATTTGAGAACCGGAAAGTTTCAGCGTTAAAATTCAAATTCACCAGCTACGTCATTCATCGCGCCGGCCGATTGCCTGCGAGCACATATAGGCACTCTGAAACGGAGAGGTGGGCATGTCGTCTGTATCGGTTTCGCATTCCGCTGTCCCTCAACAGGCGCCACCAAAGCCAACATGATCCCATTCCTTGCGAAAAGCAAGCATCTCTCAGAAAAGGAGTTTCATTGTCTTCCGTCTATGTACATGCAACGAGAGAAATCTCCGCTAGACCGGTGGCCGATACCGCCGTGTAGATTCGTCTCGTTGAAAGGGTATCACTGTTTTCAGCAGACCGTCCTTGTCTGCTCAGCATCCTCGTCGCTTCTCTCTTCCGATAGTTCCGATGTATACGTGCCTCTCCGTGGTGCCGACTCGTCATGCCATCAACCGGCATGCTAATGCCGAGCCGCAGCCTAGTTGTGCCGGTCTATGCATTATCATGCATCAATACCAGCGGCATCATCCGGTCCCTTGGACAAAGCAAGCATAGCGCCAGCTGCACCGCGCCGTTGTCTTGTTTCCCCTGGTGTGTCGCTCCTCAAATCTCCTTTTCCAGCTCCCGCTCCCGCTCCTTGCGCCGTACCCGTCGCTCGACCATGCCTACGCGCGCCTCTACCCTGGACGTGCCGTCCGAGGTGGGTAGTAGGCCGCCCTCGTACCACGTCCGCAGCGCCGCTTCGCTGCGCCCGCGCAGCTCGGCCACCTCGGCCTCCTGCGCGCGCTGCGCGGCCTCGGCGGCACGCAGGCGGCCCGTCAGCGCCACCAGTGCCGCGCTCTCCGCCGGGTCCGGTACCGGCGTGTCCTGCACAGCTGTCAGCGCGGACACGGTCGCGGGGAAAGACGGCGCCGCCGATAGCACGATGGCGCGGACGGCGTCAATGGGCAGCTGCGTGGGCGGCTGGCTCGCGGCGGGGGTCTGAAAGAAGTCGGGGCGTGCTTTGTCTGTAGAAGATGAAGAAAGCAGGCTCCGATTAGCGAAGAGTGTAGGTTGCTGCCGGGACCGGGGGACGTACAGATCTTGACGAGGTCGCCGTAGACGCGGATCCGCGAGGTCAATATTGAGAAGCGCTTCTCCAGCTCGGCCATTTGCCGCAGTACCGATTCGTGTTGCGCAGGCGGTGTTGACGAGCCATATAGGAGGTGCTCGACGCGTAGCAGCCGCGATTCGAGCAGCGAAATGGTCGATAGTGTCGTTTGGTCCAAGGGGTTGTCCATGACGCGCGGGTGCGCCGTGGATGTGGCGCAAATCGTTTTTTGGTGAGAGAAATGCGCACCCTAGCTCGATTCAAAACTAATAGAGAGCTGGGTCAAATGGAAAGCTGACTTGGGGTTGAAGAGTCGACGTGTTGCGAATGGTGATGGGAAGACGTTGAAGCCCTGCAGCCTTGAAGCTTGAGCTTGAAGCTGGGGTCGCGCCCCACACTCGGCTACAGGGTACAGTGACGTCGCGTGTAAGTACGTGCCAGATATATGCTCGAATTCTGCAAGGAATTATTCTAACCAATGAATATCTTATTTAGCAACATAGTTGTTAATGTCTCTATCTCCCGTATTATTCACGGTATCTTGTGGCAAGTCTTGTACTTGAAATGGCTGACAGATTAGCTGCAAGTCGAGAGCTGCTTTTTCCAATTCGACACACGTACGTACATGTATTTTATAGCTCCAACACCGCAATATACACTTATCCTAGTGGAATAAATTTTAATTCTAGGAGATAATCCGATAGGAAAACTTATTGTTGGCATGGCTCTCCGCGCCCTTGGCTACCTCGGCCCTGGATAACGCTATCAATCGCATCTTGGAGCCGCTACGAATTGTAACGAGCAAGTTGCAGATCAACACCAAGCAACCCAATATTCGATATTCGGCAGTCACGAAATAAGGTTCATGCCCTTCCGGATTTTTTCTGCTAAAAAATGGGCGAGGCGGCGCTCGGTCTCGGCGAGATGGCAAGGATGGTGATACCTCCAACGGTCCGCTTTCCGTCTCCCAGCGTCCTTGGCGTCGGGTTTGCGTTAACCCTGCCCGACCTTTGAAGGAAGAAATTCGGAGCAAGTTCAGGTTGCGCCGACGCAATCATTTAATTGTTGCTGCGACCTCGGCTACGCTGCCAACAACGCCGATGAGCGACAGGCCGAAGAGAATAAAGAGCCAGGCTCTGCGCAACAGGTGTCGGAGATTCGACCTAGCAGGGTAAGGAAAATCAGCTCTATTCGCAATTACATGGATTTCATCATGGTGAGTAGATTTGTTCCGCGGGGTACTATCTAGCACTTCGCTAACAATGATCATCTGTAGGCCGCAGACTTTCCAAGCAAGCCACCGCTTGCTGTTCTTGAGCGACTACAGCTCATCTTCAAGCTTCTCGTCATATGTGCGTATACGACCAGCATTGAGTTCCATTCTCAAGCACCTTTATATCTAATCTTCCCCCCTACCAGTTCCTGTGTTTACAGCGTACAATCTCGCGTACATGATTCCCGCCGCCATTCTCAGACGCATGGACCTGCGATACGCCGTCATTTGCGGCCTTGTCAGGTCCGTCTTCACCCTGCTGGAGCCGGCCGAGGTGCAGGCGCTCGTCCCGCCGACACGCACGACATACGAGCAATGGATCAAGGCCAAGGCGCGGCAGCCGGCCTACCGCGACCGCGTCCTGCTCGACGTCCAGCCGCTGTCCACGGGTCGGGACTCGGCCATCCTCTGGCTCGGGGACCGTCGGCGGGCCCAAAAGGTGGTGCTGTACATCCATGGCGGCGGCTACGTCATCCCCCTACTGCCCGGCCACCTGGACCTCTGCTGGACGAGCTTCGTGGCGGCGGGCGCCGCGGCGGGCGTCGAGGTGGCCGTGGCGCTGCTGCAGTACACGCTCGTGCCGCGCGGGCGCATGCCGACGCAGCTGCAGCAGGCCGTGGCCGCGTTCGACGAGCTGCGCGCCCAGGGCTTCGCGCCGCGCGACATTGTCGTCGGCGGCGAGTCCGCCGGCGCGAACCTGACGATGCAGTTTACGGCGCACCTGCTGCGCAAGCACCCGTGCGTTCCCGCCGTCCGCCTCCCGCACCCGCTGGCCGCCGTCGTGGCCGTCTCGCCCGCGCTCGGCTCCGACGCGCACAGCAGATCGCTGCGCGAGAACAGCAGCGTCGACATGATCACGGAGCCCCTGCTGCGGCGGCTGGCGGGCGGCATGCTTCCCGAGGGCGAGGCCGAGACGCTCGAGGCGGTTGACAACCCGTGGGCGCGGCCGCTGGACTCTGATCCCGCCTTTTGGGAGGGACTTGGCGAGGTCACGGCGCAAATGTACTTCATGGTCGGTGACCGCGAAATACTCGCGGATCAGTCTCGTTGCATGGCTGCGATTGTGAGGAAACAAGCACCAGACGTCACTGTCCGCCTGGACGAAACGTCGGGCCAGCCGCATAGTGGCATTCTGTTGGAGGCCAACATGGGAATAGTTGGCGAGTCTTTGAGGAACATGAAGGCGTGGTATACGGGATTAATCAGTGAGAAATAATGAGTTCAGGTCGGCAGCGGCGCGGTTCCAATTTAAACACGTATGCAACAGTCATTGCCTTTCGTCCTGCGCCCCGGTAAAGGTACATCAAAGCTTCCAGACACTCTAGTCGCATGGACTGATATAAGGACTCATTTTCGTCTGGGGAAGGCCGATTGCGGCTCGGCTGATGGAAGCTCGACTGACTTTTCCCATGATCCGAGGCTGGATCAAGGTAGCTAAAGCGTATGCCAAATATCGTTTTGTTGGCTTCACTGCAGTACAGCGGATATTTGGTATATGATGAGCCCCAAAGGCGCTCACCCGACATTATTGGCCTGGTGGCTTCTCTTCGTTTCGTTGCTGTGTTGTCACTGGTGTTGAGCTTTTGCTTCGACCCAACCTCGTCGTGGTCTTGCGATGACCAGTCTGGCACATCCATGATGGCTCTTTCGCCGGGAGCTTTCCGAGGTCGCTGCAGTCGATGATGCAGAGAGTCCTTGTTGGCGCTCGTGCTGATGTCTGCTGTGGGACACCTGCCGCGACGCGTAGCAGGCAGCCAGGGTACTCAGCCGAAGATGTTGAAAGGAATAACAGCAATTTTTACTAGCATTCATATATTCCTATGCATTCCTATGCATTTTCTTAGTTGCTTTCAAGTATATAAACAGTATATAGAAGATTGTAAAACCCAGCAGTGACTTCCTTTATCACTCCCTTATGCTGTCAGAGGCGAGGTCCACAACCCGTTCACGAATGTCTGCATAAAAGGCGTGGGGCAGTAATTATTAATAAGGCGACGGAAGCAGAACAACAAATTAATAATTTATGTAATAATTGAATGCTGAACTGATTTGCACAAGGATGCAACACATAGTTGGTGCCGACATGTACCTACCTCCCATGCAGCCCTAACCCCAAGAAACTTCAGCTCCATCACTCCATCCAGAGTTGGGGTTGATAATAATTTGGCCGTAATAGATGATGGATGATAGCTTAGCTTCCTCCACCCCCGCACGCCGCTAACTAGCGGACCCGCCATCGCGATGAAAAAAAAAATCAAAATCTCGACTTCTAAAGCGACTGCACTCTGCGTCGCAGCAGAATTGCGAATTGCACCAGCTCGCCCTCTTCTGGCACTGAAGAACCCCATCTCTCCTCTGCCGGCCCAGTTTCCCACGCGCTCACAAACAGACAGACAGCCAGACAAAACGCACAACCCCCAAATCCTCCGAACCAACAACCACTTTTCCCAGCATCATGCACGCCAAGGGCGGCCGCACCTTTTCGCGCGCCTTTGCCGCCACCGTCGACGACGCGCAAATCCCGCTCGACAGCAAGAAGCGCAAATTCGGCCCCTCCGAGGGCAAATTGCCACGCATCCCAGAAGCCAAGCCGACGAAGCGTTTCGCGCCCATCCGCGGTGGTCGGTCCTGGACGATTTCCGTAGCCGTGCCGGGCAGCATCCTCCACAAGTTGCGCCCATCCCCCCCCCCCCCCGAAACCCACAAAAGTACTAACACCCGGGCAGCCTCCCAACCGCTGAGCAGCGTCTCGCCACCGTCGCCCGTCTCGCGCGGTCGCTGGCCATCTTTTGCGTCGACGAGGTCATCGTGTACGACGACGACGCCGCCGCGGTGCCCTCGTCGCGCAGCAGCACGACGATAACACGCCTCGACGGCTCGCCCGACGCCTACACGGGCGACTCGGACCCGTGCCACTTTGTCGCCCAGGTGCTGTCCTTTCTCGAGTGCCCGCCGTTTATGCGCCGGCGGCTGTTCCCGCTGCACGCCAACCTGCGGCATACGGCGCTGCTGCCGGCCGTCGACATGCCGCACCACCCGCGGCCCAAGGCGGCCTGGCTGCCGTACGTCGAGGGCGTGACGGTGCCGCCCGCCGCCGAGGAGGAGGGCGGCGGCGGCAGCGGCTCCGTGGTCGACACGGGGCCCTGCGGCGGCCGCGTGTGCGTCCCCGACGACATACCCCCGCACACACGCGTCACGCTGCACCTCGGCACCCACGCGGCCGCGCAGCAGCCCGTCTGCGCCGACCCGCACGCGCCCCGCGCCGAGGGCGGCTACTACTGGGGGTACGCCGTGCGCCGCTGCGCCAGCCTCTCGCGCGTCTTCACCGAGTGTCCGCACGCCGCCGGCTACGACCTGAGCGTCGGCACGTCGGAGCGCGGCACGCCGCTGGCGCAGGTCATGGCCGAGCACCAGCAGAAGCGCGCCCAGCAGAAGCGCCGCGGCTACGGCCACCACCAGGCGGACAGCGACGATGGCGCCGCCGCCGCCACGCCGTCGTTTCAGCACCTCGTCGTCGTCTTTGGCGGGCCCCGCGGCATCGAGCTCGCCGCCGACCACGACCCCGCGCTCGCCGCCATGCACATCCGCGGCCCCAGGACCCGCGAGCTGTTTGATCACTGGGTCGACGTGCTGCCGGGCCAGGGCAGCCGCGCCATTGCGACCGACGAGGCCGTGCCGATTGCGCTAATGGGTCTGCGGGGCCTGTGGGAGTCGACGTGAGCAAGAGTTTCGGGAGCGGCCCGGCTCTCTGGGGTGTTGAATATTCCAGCTTCTGTATAATATGTTGAATTCTTGCCTTCTTTTGATATGTGGGCAACCTAGAGGTATCAGTCGGCGTTGGTTTAGGTTGGAATTCGTTTTTCTTGTATGATCTGTTGAGATACCAATCACAATGAATAAACGACAAAACGACCAAAGAATATATGGGAAATCCTCTTCTTTCTGCAGACCAATTGTTCAAAGCCCTGCAAGATTCATGAGTAATGGTTCAAGGGTGATACCTCGAGTGTTTATAGCCTCCAAGGCTCTATAATGGTTCTAATAACAGATCAAAACGCAGACCCCGACGCCATTAGTGTCCTGTGCCAACCTTGGCCTTGTCTCATCCTCACTGTTCAATGAAGCCCAACAGATGCAAGTAAAAAAACGCACAAAACGCCCCTCCAGTATATTTAATATGTATGTATAGTTACAGCAACGGAGCAAAAAAAAAAACGCCTATGGGCCGGTGCGGCCGTCCATGGCCACGGCGTGGTCGAGGCTGGTCTGCGCAGCCATGGTCGCCTTGTCGCCGGCACGGTTGCGGAGGACGTTTTCGATAAAGGCCTCGCCGGCCTTGTACGAGGAGCGGACGAGCGGGCCGCTGGCGACGTAGAGGAAGCCCATGTCGAGGGCGCGCTGGCGCCACATCTCAAACTCGTCGGGGGTGATGTACTTTTCGACCTTGAGGTGGCGCTTCGTGGGTCGCATGTACTGGCCAAAGGTGACGACGTCGACGCGGGCCTTGCGGAGCTCGGTGAGGGCGGCGACGAGCTCGTGCTCCTGCTCGCCGAGGCCGAGCATGATGCTCGTCTTGGTGATGATGCCGTGGGGGCCGCAGACGTCCTTGACGTGGGCGAGGACGCTGAGGCTCTGGCGAAAGGTGGCGCGGCGGTCGCGGACGTACGGGGTGAGGGCCTCGACGGTCTCGACGTTGTGGGCGTAGACGTCGAGGCCGCTGCGGGCGACGACGGCGACCATGTCGAGGTCGCCGCGGAAGTCGCCCGTCAGGGCCTCGACGAGCAGCGAGGGCTTCTTGTGCTTGATCTTGCGGATCGTCTCGGCAAAGTGGCGGGCGCCGCCGTCGGCGAGGTCGTCGCGGTCGACGCTGGTGAGCACGACGTAGCCCAGGCCCCAGCGGGCGAGCGCCTCGGCCGTGTGCTCGGGCTCGTGCGGGTCGAGCGGCGGCGGCGCGCGGTTCGTCTTGACGCTGCAGAAGCGGCACCCGCGCGTGCACGTGTCGCCCATGAGCATGATGGTGGCCGTCGCCGCCGACTTGTCGGAGCCGCCCCAGCACTCGGAGATGTTGGGGCAGCGCGCCTCCTCGCAGACGGTGTGCAGGTTGAGCCCGCGCAGGTCCGCCTTGATCTTCTTGAAGTTGTCGTTGCCCGCCGGGATGGGCGTCTTGAGCCACTCGGGGAGCCGCGTGATGGTGCGCTTCTTGCCCGCGGGGCCGACCTGCGCGGTGCGCAGCTCGTAGGCCGCCGACTGGGCGAGCGCCTCGCCGCCCTTGCCCGCGCCGCCGATGAAGTCGTCGAGCGAGGCGACAGTGGTGTCTTTGAAGTAGGTCTTGCGTTTGGGCTTGTCCTTGGCGGCGTCGGACGAGGGGATGGTGGCGAGACCCCGTGTGGTTGTCGTCGCGGCTGACGTTCTGTAGGTGAGGGCTCTTCGCAGGGGCGCGGCGGTTCGCTGTAGGGAAGCCATGGTGCGGCTGTGTTCGGTGCGGTCGAGATGGCCGCCGACTTCTCCAATGGACGAGGAAGCTGTGTAGGTTGATCGAGGTCAATGGAGAGGGGAAACGACGGAGCAAAATGATGGACCAAAAATACGGACCAAAAAGGTCGACTGTGAACAAATCACAAATCGTTGACTAAAATGTTGGACAAGGCGCTCCACAAAATTTGCCTCTTGTTGGTGGCAGCGCAGAGGATAAGGCCGATGGGACCCGCTGCCGACCGCGGACACGAGTAGCAACCAGTCATTTGCGAATTAATCAGCACACCCAGGCCATCCTAGCAATGGCGCCATCAAAACTACAGGGAGGAGGGCGTTGAATCATGTTATATCAGTATGATTCATACCGTCAATTATGCACGGTTTGCGACAATGAGAGATGACTTAGGGTTATGACAGTTACACCCTTTCACACGCTCACTCCAAACGACACAGTAACAGCATCAGTGAACATCTTCTCAAGGTCCCGTCGATTGGTTCTACCTATTCACGTTGCTTTGTAAAGCAGCGTATGCAGGCTCCAACTATAAGCGAAAAGAACAAGTATAGAAAGCCCTCGCCCGCAGCAGTCTCCAGCAGAAGCCTCATTCCCAACAGAATGCAAACCACTAGCTGCCGCCCGAGTACCGAGAAGAAACAAAATCTTGTTTGGCATGATGAAAAAAATAGCAGCAATCCACCCATGTCCTCTCCAAAACAGATTTGACGAGGCGACTCCTCCTGCAAACATGAGTATATAAAAAAAATCCTTTGTTCACCCTGTGAAGAGAAAAAAAAATCGGGCAACAATATAGTAACAAGTCGAAGATGAAGTAGTTTTGTAAAACTTCCCAAGTGTTCAACCAGTGAAAACGACTGCTTCGCTTTGTTTTGTTTTTTTGCCTCCCCCAGAACACGACTTGGCTTCAACAAACGTTCCGGGAGGCGAAAGGAAGACAGCCGCCAAGTATATGCGACGAACCAAAAGGGAGGCAGATACGGGCATGAAAGGTAGGGAAAACTGGTGCCCCAGAAATGCCGCCCTGGTTCGTACTCGTCGAGGTCGTCAAGCATAACCAATCCAGAAAAAACGCCTACCGGCAGAAAGAAGGGGAAAAAAAGAGGAGGTATATAGAAGGAATTCACACGAAAAGCTCAACAAGAAAACAAGGCAGCTGATTTCTCGTTCTTTGCAGAACAGGGCATTTGTAAAACGTCTTTTGTGTTCAAGATTGTACTCGAGTTGCTGCCCGAAGCGAAAGAAGAAGATGGCGGCAACAGTCACGGAGGTCCTGCCCAAGAAATTGCATCGACCACAAAGTGAGACAAGTCTCTCTCGCTCTCTCTCCGAATTACAAGAGGGCAGCGACGACAATACCGGCAACACCAGCAAAGACGACCTTGCCGGCATCGAGGGCAGCACCGGCGTTGGTGGGACCCTTGGTCGTGGGCAGCGTGGTCGGGGTGGCCGACGCCGAGGAGGCGGTCGGGAGGGTGATGCCGCCGGTGGGCTGGATGGCGGTGGTGCTGTTGAGGCTGGACACGGTGGACACGGTCGTGTGCACGCGCGAGAGGGTGACGGTCTTGGTCACGTACTCCGTGTTGGTCATGGTGGTGGTCGTCGTCGACGTGCCGGTGACGGTGGTCAGGCTGGCGCTGTCGCTGCTCTGCGCCGCGGCGAAAGCCGGGAGGATGGCGACGAGGACGGTAGACAGACGCATCGTTGATTGATTTTGTAGTGCTTCTTTCTTTCTTTCTTTCCTTTCTTTGCAAAACGAGTGTGTGTTTTGGTGCAAGTTGTCGAGTCTCGCCAAAACAAGATGATGTATGACAGATACAAATAACTTGTTGTTCCGATGAACCAGTTCGTTGTCACTTTGCCGAATTTTCTGACTTGGGAAGAAAAAGCGCTCTTTATGCTACACAATGCGCCAAGGGTCGGGCTGAAGCAGAGGCGCGACTTGTTTCAAGTTGGAGGAGTTGAGTGAGTATCGGTTGGGTGTGAGAAGTGGGTTGTCTGTGTGTTGGTGAATGAGTGAGTGAGTGAGTGTGTGTGGTGCGTAGAGCCGTAAATAGACTTTGCCAACGAAGCCTTTTTTGTGAGGACGAAGCGGAAACTGAATCGGACGTTGCTTGGTGAAAAGAAGTGAAAGAGGGAAAAAGGAAGGGAAAAGGGCGTTGGGGTGTGTGTGGCGCCTCATCTACTATTATGGTTGGGGGGGGAGGCCATCTCACGAACAAAAAACACAATGCTGAGAAAAGGCAAGTACACTAACGCATAAAGAGCGCGTGCTGGTACATTGACATCCAGCCCCACAGAGACCAACGAAGCACAAGAGAAAACGCTCACCAATTGGTCACTTTTTGTTGCTGTCCATTTTAGTAAAGCCCAGGGGGAGGGGGCTGATGGCCCTTTGACTTGTGAGACTTTAGAACCAGTGAAGACGAGGGGGACGCACGCGCCGGGCTGGCCTCGCTGCGACCAAGGGGCTTGGAGGGAAATGAGGGTATCCGCTGTCTCACCCTCCAGCGAACGGCAACACGGTAAGCCGTAACAGTCATAGCAGAGCTCTTGTGCGCCCGCCCGCCCATCTGAAGCAATGCGCCGTCCCGGCGGCAAAAAAGGGCTCTTTTGTCCTTATTAACTAAAATGAAGGGTCGCGGGGGGGCCTCATGTTGCAACGTGTCGTTGTAAATAGCACCATCCCTCATTTGCGTCCTGGGATATTAAGTTGCGAGTTGTAGAAAGAAAGAAAAAAGAAAAAACCAAAGAGACGAAAAGGGAGCGTATAAGTCGGATCTGCTCCTTCTTTCCTATCCTATTCTCGTCAATCGACAAAAACTGCTGCGCCCCGATTTGATTTTCTGGGGAGAACCTCGCCAAAAAACAACAACAGGGCAACCAAAGTGCTTGTAAACTGGAGACATGCAAGCCACAAAGAATCAAGGCGTCATCAGACAAAATCCCCAGCCGCGTCGACTTCCTGATGGGACTAGCTCAACTAGCCCACAAGGTTTAAATTTGCTCATCTCCCAGGGCGCCGGCACATCATTGGAATGGGGGATTTTGCCTTTTTTTTCTAGCCTAGTTAACTTGACAAGAGGCGCCCGTACCTGACGCTTTTCCTGTATGGGAACAGTCGCAACTCTCATTCCGTCCCAAGATGATGATACCAACCACTGACAAAACATTACATCGAAATAGTACAAATTAAAGAATGGATTACTTAAATGCTATCCGTACTTTGACCTGCAAGACCAGCGCCACCTCCGCCTTTTTTTGCACGTGCCGATTTTAACATGCAACGTCGCCCAATTTCCTGTTTCATTATCATTAATAATTATTAACTAAATTTTGGAGCCCGTTATCAAGGTATGCAATGGCGTCTTTCTCCCTGTCCCTTCTTTCCTTGACGCTTCCTCCCTCCTCCCTTGGTATCCTGTAAAACAGGTATGTAGTCAACGAGTTGCATGTAGTACATGGACTTATATTTTCCTTGCCAGACCCTAAAACAGTGCTATTATTTTTCCATCCTTTTTTTTTCCCTGCCACTAGTGCCGCACCGAACCAAAAATGTTGGCATCGATCCGTGTAGTCTATGGACATACGAGGTTCCGTACATATAGTTACGCAAGACCTATTACTTGCAAAAAAAAAACAGTTCTTCCACAACGAGGATAGATTCCATAGACTCTCGCATCAACATCAACATCTGCAATACCCGGCGCGTCCGATGCCAACCCCCCGGGACAGGTGCGGGAATGGAATGCTGTGAGGCATTCCCCAAGACGCTAACCCCCACATCAACAACAGACGCACCCAAGGTTCAAGTCAACTATGGAACCTTGTCAGATCTCGGCGCCTCGCCAAGCTCCTGGGTCAATAGTTGGACCAACACTGGGTGGTATATGAACATTGTCACGCATGTGTAGGTAGCCGCACGTATAGGGTAGCGAGTTTCAAATCGGGAAATTCAATCTACTATCTGTAGTCCTGAAATATGGTATCCAACAAGATGAGAGAAAATAGAAAAAAAGCAAAATATCCGCTTGCACATCATCAAAGCAGCGACAAAGATGACGCCCTGCTAGGATAGCCAGAGCAAACTTGCCTACCAAACGTCTACGCGAGCCAGAACCAGGCCCTCTGGACCCAGTTTTTGGGGATACGCTCCTTCTCCAACTCTCCTAGTTCGTCCATCTCCTTGACGCCAGTAACAATGTCAATCTCGTGGACGGGGATCGCCCAGCGGGTTCTGAACCAGAGCTTGTGTCCCAAGTAGAGGACCAGGACGATGGGGATGGTGATGTAGGCGGCGATGAAATCGGCGGGGACAAAAGGGTGAGCCATGAAGCTCTGGAAGCCATTGGTAATGGTGAGGAGAGAGACGAGGCCAATCATGAAATAGCTCGCATACGGCTGAAGGGGCGTCTTGTAGGGGCGAATGTCCATCGCATTGTTGTACTCGAGGGCCTTGCGGAAGCGGACGTACGTGATCATGACGATGATCCACGCAATGAAGCCGGAAATGGTCGAGAGGTTGACGAACCAGTTGAAAACCTCTACGCCAGAGTTGCTGACATTGAGATACGAGAGCAGGCCAACGGCAAAGGTGGCGAGGACAGCGGCCCAGGGGACACCGAGGCGGGTCGTCTTGGAGAAGATGCGAGGAGCATTGCCGGTCAAGGACATCGAGTAGAGAACACGGCTGCCCGAGTAGAGGAACGAGTTTCCGGCGGACCAAGCCGACGTCAGAATGGCGGCATTAATGATGTGGTTGAGGACCGAGATGCCGACTCTCTGGATGCCAATAACAAAAGGAGAGGCGGCGGCACCACCGGCACCGTCAGCGAGGGCACCGAGAAGCCTGTCATCGTCCGAGGCGACGAGGATACCAATAATGAGAGAAGAGCATCCGTAGAAGATGGCAAGACGCCAGACGAAGCGACGAGCAGCCTTGGGAATGTTGCGACGAGGGGCAACCGTCTCGCCGGCGGCAATTGCAATGAGCTCGGGCGAGGTAATGAAGGCGAAACCGGCCGTGATGAAGGCTTGCCAGAAAGAGAGGAAGCGGCCGGTGGAGCCGGGGACACCCTTGAACTGAACAAAGGCGCCTGGATGTTTCCAATAGTAGAAGCCTCGTATATGCTGCTGGTCGGGGCCGCCGCCAAAGAAGATGACGACGCCGAGAATGATCAGGCCCAGGATGGTAATGAGCTTGATGCTGGCAAACCAGAACTCGGCCTCGCCAAAGAACTGAACGGCAATGATGTTGAGGAAAAGCATGACGAAGAGGATGATGGTGATCCAGACGGCGACATTGATCTTTTGAGCGCCGGGCCAGTAGTTGATGACGATGCTGGCGGCCGAGGCTTCTGCTCCGACCAGGATGGCGTAGACGTACCAGTAATTCCAGCCGGCGGCAAAGGCGAGCGAGGGATCGACGAAGCGCTCGACAAAGTAGGGGACGGTGATGCCGCGCATGGGGAGGAGGGTGACCATTTCGGCAAGGCAGTTCATGACACACCAGACGACGGACATCATGAAGAGGTAGGCCATGAAGAGAGGGGCAGGGCCGCACTTGCTGAGGATGCCCCCGGAACCGACAAAGAGACCGGTACCGATGGCGCCGCCGAGGGCGAGGAACTGAATGTGACGGCTCTTGAGGCCGCGCTCGAGCTGATCATGTTGGCCGGCGAGACCGAATTCGGCCGTCTCGGCGGGTTGGGAGGCCTCGACATTGAGATTGTAGCTGTTGGCCGAGTCTTGGCCCTCTTGAGAGGACTTCTTCTCCATGATGGCGGGAGAAAGTGGAGGGTGGGAAGCGGGATTCGAGTTTATAGCGATACGAGTATATAGCGATGCGAGTATATAGCGATGCGAGTATAGGATGGGGGGGAAAGTGACGTCAGAAAAAGAGACCGTTGGTCAATGGCGCGGAGAGACGTTGGTAGCGTAGCGTTGGTTAGCGACGAGGCGAGCTCAGCTGTAGGTGCGGTAGAGGCAGGTGTAACCAGCACAGCAGTGGGCGGACATCAGACGGGCCGGTGATGATACGGCAGACACTGCCGACGAGGAGGGGAGGAGGGGGCGGGAAGAACGAGGTATAATAAAGTATGAACGAACTCGAGCAGGGGATGTGGAGGATGGAAGGATGCAAAGAGAAAGAAAAAAAAGAAGGACCAGAGCTGGACGTTGATTGTGGGCGTGCGCCCGGTTTTGGGGATTGTGGTGGAAAAAAAGTGTGGTGGGGGAGCAAACGAGGCTTTGAAATTTTTGGAGGTACCTTGTTATCAGTGGGTGATGGGGGCCAGTGGAGGTACCAGTACCTTATCGAAGACAATGTCTGGAGTCCAAGATTTTTTTTGGGGTAAACGGGAACCCCAGACGCCGCTTCTGTAGCCTGGGGGGGCGTCTGGAGAGACCCGCCGCATCAAGAAGCTGGAAAAGAGGGCATTCACTATGTACGAATCAGGTTGTGCACGATGGTTGGTGATGATCGGTCGCGCAGAAAAAGCATGTCGCGCCGTAGGTCGCGCAGGAATCGAGAATGCTGATTGCGGCGGTGGGATTGGGTGCCCATTAGAAGACTGCACAGCAGGATCTGCATGGGACGGATATGTACATGTATGTACGGATACACCCACTCACCACTGCACTGCACACAGCATTCAAGTCGGTGCTTTGCTGCTCCATCTGCACCCACTCAACGCTGCACACAACTTGCAGCACGAGCCTTCAACCGTTTCTCTGCCTCGCAGCCCACCAATCGCCCCAACGCCCACTTGCGGATGACACTAGTCATCTTTTCAACGTCACTTGACGGGCGCGCAACCGTGCAAACATGCGTTGGACTAGTCAACTATAAACAATAGCCTTTTTTGGCCACAACACCTATTTCCGGAACTATATTCATTGCGACCCGGGGCGGCGGCTCTGCTGGCGTCCTGACCCAAGATTACCGTTGTTCCTACTGGCAGCATTTGTCAATACCACCTACAATCGCAAAACGTGGCGCGCCCGGCAGCGAAATGCATTTCCATTCTCGGTTTCTATTTTTTTTTTCGGTACGGCCATTTACGCCCATTCAGCATGAGTGGCTTGCATTGTTGATTTGGCCCCAGCGCTCGCTACCCAGTCATGCACTAACACCGCCTGGGCAAAGGCAGCCTTGTGAGCTTACCCTTGCTGCCTCCCCCCCCGGGTTTCATCATGGCAACGTATCTGGTTGTCCCCTGCTCCTGTGCATTCTACGCGCTTCACCTCGCGGCTGGATTTCGCTCGCAAATCGTCCGCGGTCGGCAAGTTGCCGTTGTTGGAAACGGCCTGGACTTTGGTCTCGCCCCCTCGCCCGCCCCCCCCACTTGCGGCCGCCGAGTGCGGGACACCATTTTTTTTTTCTAGTTCAGTCAGTGGCTGCGACAAAACCACGCCACTCATACGAATACAGTAATTATACGGCTCTTGTCGAGGGAAGGCGTTGCCAATCAAACTGGCGTTTGCGTGGCGCTCTCGGGAGGCGCTGCCAGGCGAGTCGACTAGGCGATGCCGAGACGACAATGGGCTGAAATTGCCTGATCAGCCAAGACGACCAATGCTCGGCTCCAACGACCAACAAACGATAACTAATAAAAGAGACAAACAATATGGAATGGACGGAACAGCAATCTCAGCTGACGCGATTTCTCCGATGCTGTTCAGCTGCGTGCAGCGAGGCACGACACCAGTGCGTACTGACTGGCACCAGTTAATAATTAGTGTTACTAGTGAGTTCCAGCTCCAGCCGCATCCGACCCCATCTGGACCATCCATCACCACCCACCCATTCATGCCATTCCATGCACCATGCCATCATTTGCCTGATGGTCTGGGCGCCACGGGGAAACTAGTTACACTGTCAGTTCAGCCCCCGACTGTTCTTTCTTTCTTCTTTTTTCCTTCTTTCCTTGTTCTCTATCTATTTGCCCAAAAGAATAGTCGGTCCACGCAAATGAAGCCGCCCACCTCACTAGACCTCAACTCGTCGAAATTTAACCCAGTCAGATTTTAGACTGTCGGATTTTAAACTTGTCGGCACCCCCAAAATAGTCAATGTTGGCTTCCCACGCTCCAGACCATCCTAGTCATCCTAGTCCCCCGTACTCCGTAGTAGTGAAAAGCATGAAAAGCGCAAGCCGATGGAAGCCGTCGCCAGCGCTGCCTCTCCCCACCACAAAACGCCTCGTCTCCACATCCCCAACTTGTCGCGTACCGTGTTGAACCCTGCAACCTACCTCGTTACTATGGATCAACCATGTCCTGACATCTCGACAAGGAGGGTGTGCCATCCATGCCCATCGCCTTGCTTGCCCGTCGTCATATGCGTCTCAGTTCGCTCTCGAGTCCGCCCGTATCTTCCTTTTGGCCCAACCTGCCTGTTCTGCCTCGACGCTTTCTGCCGTCAGACCCGTCTGTTTGCTGCTCATCAGGATTCCCCATCTCGCACAATCTACAATAACCACCATCTACAAAGGCTGAAACCCCTGGGTACGATCCACCAACCGCGATTCTGCGCCTTCTAGAAGCTTTACACGAAACCTTGAGGCTGCGCCGCCGTGGCGCCCTCTTCTGCACGGGACACACAGATTACCTACTTTGCTATCCACACATGACCTCGCCCTCGTCGACTACTATCCATGCCTCGCACAGACCAGAACTCGTGCGCTTTTTTTTTACCCTTTCCTCTTGGCCTTTGTGTGTGCGAGCTCCCAGATGTTATCGGGCATGGACCCTGTACCACACATTCCCGCAGACGTGGATCTCGGTCAAACTCCACACAAAACCTGTGCCTAGAACGTATTCACGCAATGAGAAAGAAAAAAAATATGCCAAGCACAAAACTTGCGCTTGACGAAACGGATGGCATCTCACCGCCGGTCCCGCATCTGGTATGGAACCCGAGACGGCCGGACGCCCGTTGGGTGACGCTGGCGAGACAAGCACGCGAAACCTTGCGTTCACATCTCAGTGTCCGTGAGCCCATTGAAGCCATTACCACGAGTCAACCAGCGCACAATGTCCTACTCGGATTCACCGTCGCGCTTTTCGGGATGGCCCGCCAGACAACGCCCGCCCCCTATCTTGTACCTGCCAATCTCCTTTCGACTACTACGAGCTTGAAGTTGGTTACCACTACGGCGACCGGACGCGACTTGGGTTTGGCAGTAATCAGTGACGACCCTGGCAAATTCTCAGTGTCAAAATTCGTCGAGGCGTGTCCTGAAGCGCTCCAATAGCTGCACTACTTGTCTTGGCAAAAGATGCAAAAGGCCAGAGATGACGAGCGTTGAGCTTGTTTTTATACCTGCTGCGCTTCATCATCGTCAGCGGTCGGAAAGAATTCCATAAATACCGAATGCCCCGCCCAACCATCAGTCCCTCCTACTGCGTCACGACATGCGCCAATCTCATGGCCTGTCGCACACGATCGACTCCCAAGTATGGCTTGCCTACTCTGTAATACCCCCAACGGACAAGTTGCATTCCCTTCCTCCGGAGCGCCAAGACGTGCAGTATAGTTCATCTCGTCTATCCCGCGCTGCTGCAGTGGCGCTGTATACGTTTTTCGATAGTGCAAAGATTTTGCTGTCTCTTGCTGACCAGCCAAGATGACAAATCTCCTTGCACAATCTTTGTGTGTATTGACTAGTCAGTTATCGCTTCGTTATTGGACATGGCACACATGACATGCAAGCTGTCCAGCCGTTGTCGTTGGTCGTCAGACCCTTGGCTGAGAGTCCGCTCCGAGATCAGATGAACCCCAACCCAGCACGCCCGATCCGCCCTGCCCACATGCGGGCGGCATCGCACCACCCGCCCCAATCCCTTCTCACCAACTTGTTCCTTTTGACGTATAAATACACAACAGCCAAGTCTAGCAAAAAGGTTCCTTTTGACGTATAAATACACAACAGCCAAGTCTAGCAAAAAGGTTCCTTTTGACGTATAAATACACAACAGCCAAGTCTAGCAAAAAGGAAAGAAGAAGCTCGGCCCACTTGGTTTTTCTAACATTAAATAACGAGGGGGTGGAGAACGGCTCGATATTGTCATGCTATTTGTCCAACCACTGATGTCAGTTCGATGCATTGCAGCGATCCCCCCAGTTTGCGGGGTAGACGCATACAACCAAACCATCACACGACAGGGCTGCCCCCCGACTCTCCAACGTCTTCTTCCTGTGTGGGATAAGGCTGCAGGAAGCAACCATCTTTGCCTGCCCGCGCCGTCAAGGCTCACTTTCTCAAAATCCCCGTGTGACCTACGAGCGCGAGCTTGGCAACCTCGGGGCGGGCGGTGTAGTACGTTTTCCGATTTCCAACCTCGTCCTAACGGGTACGCAAGAGTAAACCTTGGGACTTGTTCAGTCGAAAAAAGACTTTGAAGAATACCCGTGCTTCGTTCGTCCTTTCTATGTAGAATAAGGAAACACAAGATACAACGCTGCCCCCCAGGCCCCGGGTGACAGAAGGACAATGTCCAGGTGACGAGAAAGCTGTCAATAGCACGGCGGCACAGCGTCACAGCCGCGTTGGAGAAATGCTGTACAACGTCGGGACGCGGGCGGCCCATGTCAGCACGCACACCGCATGACAGGCCCCGTTGCCGGCCGGGCGAGGGGAACATGGACGATGGCCCTGCCTGCGGTTCGTCCTTCATCGCATTTTCCTTCTATAAGTCGGGACCTTGCCTCTCCTCCTCACCCCCGCTCACATCAATGGCCCTCACGATACCCTCACTCGTGATAACTCTCCATCACAAGCAGCCCATTTCATTGTATACACACTTTTTACCTGTTGTGTGGTTTTACGACATAGACACAGAGACATCACAAACGCACAACAGATCATGATGCTCCTCAGACAACTTGCGTGTATCGCCGCCGCTTTCGGGCCAGCGTTCGCTCTCCCGGCAGACACGGCAGACTGTGCCAGCACCGGGGCGCCGCTCGTCCGCCTCGACTACGCCACGTACCGAGGCACCCGCGTGGCCGGCGGCGCCGTCGACCAGTTTCTCGGCGTGCGCTTCGCCAGGCCGCCGCTAGGTGATTTGCGCTGGCGCGCGCCCCAGGGGCCGAGCTTCGAGGACAAGGTGCAGGATGCGAGCAAGGTATGTCAACCGTCCACGCAATGGGAAAACCTGACCCATCAACACCAGAACCTTTTTGCTAACGGAGCTTCGCAAGTTTGGCCATCTCTGCATCGGCAGTGGCTGGAGCCCTCCCGGCGCCGACGTGGAAGGCGTGAGTGAGGACTGCCTCTTTGCAAACGTCTTCAAGCCGGCCCATGCCACCCCCGCATCTAAGCTGCCTGTCTGGGTCTTTATCCAGGGCGGCGGCTATGCCGGCAACTTCAACGGCAACTTTAACGGCTCGGGGGTCATCCAGCAGAGCGGCGGCAACATTGTCTTTGTCAACTTCAACTACCGCGTCGGCGTCTTTGGCTTCTTGGCTAGCGAAAACGTGCGCAACGATGGCGCGCTCAATGCTGGCCTCTTAGACGAGCGTATGCTTCTCAAATGGGTGCAGAAATACATCAGCCAGGTATGATCTTTGTACTAGAGAGGTGGTCGGATACAAGTACAAACACTGACATGTTCTTTGCGCCACAGTTCGGAGGCGACCCTAAGCATGTCGTTATTCACGGCGATTCAGCGGGCGGGGGCTCTGTCTCCTACCATATGGCCGCCTATGGAGGAAATGACAAGGAAGACCTCTTTGTAGCTGGTATACCCGAGAGTCCATTCTGGCCGACACAGCGCACCGTGGACCAGATGGAGTTCCAGTACACCCGTCTTCTAGACGATACCGAGTGCAACTCTCTCGACTGTCTTCGCAAGCTTGATGTTCACGTGCTGGCCAAGGCAAGCTTTCCCTTACCTTTCCCTGGGTCGCATACCGGGGATCCCCTGCCGTTCTGGTACTGGCTGCCTGTCATTGATGGACATTTCGTCCAGGACCACATGTATGCGCAGTTCATGAGTGGCCGCTTTAAGCGTGTGCCCATGCTCGTCGGCGATGATACCAATGAAGGCACCTATTTTGCACCCAATGCCAGCACCGAGACAGAGGTGTTGGCGTTTATGCGAGCCAACTACCCACGTCTCAAAGAGTGGCAGCTGGCACTTGTCAGCATCTTCTATCCGAAGATGGACCCCATGCCCAAGCACGCCGCCTACTTCCCGACTGCCGCCGCCGCATACGGCGATTGTACCTTTACCTGCGTGGGAAACACCATGGCCGATGCTGTAACGCTCTTTGTGGGCCATGATAAGGCGTGGAACTACCACTACAACGTCGAGGATCCGGATCAGGTTGCCCAGGGTTTGGGCGTGCCACACATTGCTGAAATTGGCGCCATCTTTGGGCCGGACAATGTCCGGGGACAGGAGCAAAAGTCACAAAGGACGACCAATGCCGCCATCGTACCTGTGACAATGGCATACTTTACCAGCTTTGTTCAATTTCTGGATCCCAACAAGAAAAGGCACCCTGGATCGCCGGTGTGGAAGAATTGGGGCGCGACTGGAGGTGGGCAGGGTCAGCGCTTGCGGCTGGTAACAAACAACACGGTCATGGAGAGTGTACCGGACGACTTGCTCAAAAAGTGTGAGCTGTGGAAATTCCTTTCCGGCAGCATGGATGTTTGAGACGCGGCGAGCAAGCGTACGGAGTGCAGGATGGTTCACCTTGTATATAGCCGCAGTGTTTACAATTGTTTTGCTCTTTGGATTGCCTTGGAATGACCAAGAGCCCTGATTTTACATGAGGATCCGAAACGTCTGGCGATAAGCATATTCACAGGTTGAGAAGAGTGTCTTGTTAGTTGCTGAAGGATCCCGCCGAGACTGTTCAGTGAATCGTGTGAGCATGTCCGTCTATAATTCCGCTGCAATTGAGCGGCTGGCTATCCGACGCCGCTACAGCCGTGAGAGAAAATATAATTTTGCTGAGAGTTGGTCATTTTTTTCGAGACAAGGCTGCAAGCGGCGGGACAGGTTTTGACCAAGGGCACGTCTCGCTGAGCTTTCCAACCTTGGCGGAAGGGTGGAGGCGTATTTGCTCCGTAATGGCAACGGCGGCCGTTTGAACGCTCGGTGAACTGGCTCCATTTTCTGTGATCCCTGTAGTTCGTTTGATTCTGGCACAAACACGAGCGTCGATTCAACTTATGTATTAGTATAGACCGGGGCATCTGGTCCGGATGGGCTTTTCAGACCCGACTTATGTTTTAGATAATTTCCATGCTCGCCAAGCTGGTAGTACCAACCGACTTATTCCCCAAAGGCGCTGGCATCATGGAGAGTCTGTCGTGACGACCATCGCGGCATGCTCTAGTGTAGGTTGCCTAGAACGACGTCGACGACAAGGTTTGTGGAAGCAAACCATTGACAGGTTGAGGAGGCATCATCGTATCAACGCACTTCGCGTTTATAGTTCCCCGGTTAAAACCAAGCCGAGACATGTGTTGTCCATGGCTGATGCTGGAGAAAAAGGTACGTGACGCGACAAGTAGTTGGCACATAATGGAATCAGTACGCGAAGACGGCTCGATAGCGGCCCTGTTTGTCAGTGCTGGGCAGATTGGTGGGGGTTGAGGCAGCGATCTGCAGCAACCTGGATCTGAGTCGGGAAGCTGAAGGATTGGGGAGGGACGGCGAGAGAATTGTTCGGGATGGCGCCTCAAAGCCGTCGGCCGGTGAAATGGAGAATACGGGAGGATGTTGAGCAACCGGCAGCAGCGTGCGTTGTATTGTGTTACTGTGGATGACGTGAGGAGAGCAGGAAAATGAAAAGAAAGTGGAATTGATGGCGGGAGCTTCGGGCGAACACGAACGTGGCTACTCCGTACCAGTCTCGAATCGTTTAGCCTAACGGCCAGAGGAAAAATCGAATTTGCTGCATTGGGAAAGCGGGCCGCCGGAGAGGAGCAGAGTGTTTAAATGTTTGTTGATAATATTGATGGCTCCAGCCTCCAGCAGATTGAAAAAGTGGCTAGAGAAAAGTGGAACCGTTCTCGGGGCTTGCCATGCCGCCCGTCGGCTCGGGCCTATCAGGTGTTGCATGGAGCTTTTGCTCCGGCCGGCCCTCATCGACGACGTCTGGACTCTCAGTCGCGTTACTTTTGCCACTGTTTTGGCCAATGTCGTTGTTCTGGCGCTCTTATGCTGCAGCTGACGTGCCGAAGACCACTGTTTCTGTCATGATGCCTACATGCTGCCTTGCTGCCCGCCTGGACGATCCCTGCTGGCTGGCTGTTCAGTGTGTCGTCGCCCAGTCTGCCCAGCACACTAGGTAGTTATCTCCCTTATTAGCTGCGCTTGGGCAGCCTTTATGTTGTAGTAAGCAGCAAGTAGCATGTTTCGGACGGCTACCTGCCTCGGAAGCTGGGAGCGTACCTACCAGTAGGTACACACCGGGCCGTGCTACCTGCTTCTCTTCTTCTCCCCTCCTCGGTGGGTGTCCTCTCATGCCTGTCGTGTGGCGAGCTCCATGCTGCCCTAGTTAGAGCTCTTCGCCCGGCCACACAATGCCCCTTCCAAAAGCCGTTGTTTGTCACTGTTGTGAGGTCTTGCGCCCCAAGGATCTCTGCTCTCCTCCCCCCATCTTCTTAGCCACATGGGGCTGTGGCGAGTCCGCTTCAACACGCCTTTGCCCTCGTCTGTTCCTCCTCCCTGTGGCTTGTAACTGCACGACGACAGCTGCTTTGGGTTGACCTTCGAGCCTGTGTCGGTGTCGATTTGCCGGAGTAGGCGTTTCTCAGCGTCCAATCGAGAAAACGAAATTTCCTCGCCTCGCGTTCTCGGCGCCTGCTACTCTCGCAAAAACTCTCGGAGCCCGTTTCAGCTCCGTTCCTCCTTCCTCAGTCTTTTTGACAACCCATCACTTCTTTGCTTCTTTGCTTGTGCATTAACAAGCTACCCCTCCACAGCCTCACCATCTCGGCCACGCGCCACCTTGCAACCTGCTCGCCCATCTACACACTTCGCGGCCCGTGCTGCCAGAAATTCCATGGGGGCGAACAAGAAAAACCACGGTCGTCAGCTACATCTCATCACCCCTAACCCTTGCGGTTTGGCCAGAGATTGTTTTGCATTTGGAGCACCCATTTCGAGATAAATGTGCACAGGCCACACGGCAGATTGCCCAGTCTGCGGAAAAGAATATCTCGTCTATGTTGCATTCTGCCATACGTACCATCCGCCCTATATCGAGTGTCCCAACGGCACAGTCTTCATCCGGAATGACATGCGAGATGGCCGGTGCCCGAGCCCCGTCTGCCCAAACAGCTTGAGAGGTGGTTGCGCTGTTATGTAGTCTGCTGCATTCCCCAAAACCGCCATCGACACGTACTCACTACTCAGAGCTTCAGAGCTTCTTCCCCGTCACGTCGACTTCGACAATCTGATCCACTCCGTCGTACTCGGGCACTTGAAGGTTGTACCTTTCGGCAATCATAGGCGACACAAAACTGGCCCGTCATTTTAGCTTCGTCCACAAGGTGTAAGTTTATCAGCGTCTTGGGCAACTCACCGGCCGCCAACAAAGTGGCGTCCCGTAAAGTGTCTAACCAAGGGCTTTGGCGCAGTCAGGCTAACGAGCGTTGTAGGCATGAAGGAGCTACCCAAGCCCGATTTTGGCGGCCCTTGCTCGATGTCCCACGACGATGGCGCGTCCACCGACGTAACGGGCTTTTGTGATTTCTGGAGAGCCTCTATCACGGCTGGGAACGGCTCTCTGACCTCTCCAGAGAAGCTAAAGCCTAGCATCCGGTTAGAGAGGGGGCTGAGGCCATTGCCACGATTCGACAAACCAAAAATGGCATCAACAATGTGATCAGTGGTTTCCGCTGCAGATTCGAAATCCTCGACGAACGGGACCTGGAGATCCTCAAGCTGCTTTGCAAGGCGCTAAGAAAACGATGAGCGACCACAAGACAATATCAAGCACTCGAATTCAAAATCATCTTTGAGCGGTACCGCCCAGACAGTAGACGACGTCTGGGGAGCTAGCGTGGCCAACGCCAGGTCAGGCCGTGAACAAAACGAAAAGGCGAATAGACACGATAGACGCATACATACAAGAAAATATACACGCAAGAGTCACCACAGACAAGTCTTTGGTGAATAAAAACAGCTTACCTGGTAAAGTTCGTTCTTGCTCCTCTTGGGGTAAAAGATGGATGGGTGGTAGCCATAGTAGAACAGATGGCGAGCGGCGACAAGACCATCTCCACCTGACGTGGATTCCGTTAGATCATACTAGACCTATGGGTGACAATCTGGAACGTACCGTTGTTTCCAGGACCACAAGCGATGAGAACCTTGCGTCCCATGCTAGGCGGATGAACCCGATAGACTATACCAACGGCGTGTTAGTTGGGGCAAGCCCAGCACGGTATCATCGTACCTAGACCGATCAAAGTCATTGCATAATATCACATACCAGCCTGGGAAACAGAGAGACCAGCTAGCTCCATGAGCTGGTCAAGGGAAAATGCACAAGTGCTCATGAGCTCCTGATCCAAAGCGGTGGCCGCCTTTGCGCCAAGAGTCTGTCGTTCCAGCCAACAAATGGCATCAGTCATATATTTCCGTCATCAAACGTTAACACCCAATTGTGATCACCTACTTTGAGAGTCATGACGGAGGTGGAGTCGAGGTGTGAATAGGCTGCTCTCCTGTGATGTGAGAGCAGAGGGATGGCGCGAGTCCCATTGCTTGCTGGCCGTGTACAGGTATAGGAAAGAGCAGGGTGTAGGCGCCTCTGGCTAGCAACCAAGTCCGCGGCCGCTATTTTAAAAAGTAATAGATATAAATATACCTAAGTATACTATACTTATAATATAGTAATATATAGTATTATATTAATAAGCTTTAAGCTTACTTAAAATAATATTATTAATATCTTATTTATCCTTCTTAGCCTTTTTAAGATATATACTATCTAAATAGAAATATGGCATCAAGAGGGGTCTCACCGGACCCCCCCCCGTATACTCCGGAACAAGACCGCGAAGAATCCCGCAAAATGTGGATAAGGTTTTCCCCTAGGTACTCTAGTTTTTCCTTACCCTATAATTAGCAGAGGTACTAGATAGGTTATTTAGCCTAATTAGTGTATAAAAATTATTATTATTATTATTATCTAAATAGTAATGTAACGGAACTGGCCCGGAGGGCTCCAGTGGCAACCAGCACTGCTACCAGCCTGCTCCGCGCCGGCCACTAGCCAGAGAGGTGCTGGGCGTAGCCTAGCCCTTGACAAGTAATAGTAATGTATTATAAGAAAATAAGAAATAAACTTATTACTATATTATAAAGAATTACTTACCTTATTATATTTAGTAATAAGTATAGAAAAAAAGGCTTATAAGGCTAAAGTAAGAGATCCTTGGTCAACAGGTTTAGGCGGACGTGACTCGGGAGGCTCAGATTAGCAACAAATGTGTGGAAATGGAGGGCTTCTTGATCTACGATTCTCTCTCGTGGGCGAGCGTAGGATCTACTCCGCTTCTGCTTCCGCGCTTAACATCAGCGAGGCCGGAGCTGGAGATTGGGACCATCTGTGGCGATCTGGTCAGCGCCCTGTTGCGCTCGCCAAGTCGAATGCGAGAAAATGTAACCGGTGGGATTTGTCGACTGTCGAGCTACAGCGATGCGGACGGCTCGCGGGGAAGGGTCGTAGATGCCCGAACCAATGTAAGAGCAGAGAGATGGCTCAAGTCCCATTGCTTGCTGGCCGTGTACTCTGGGAAGGAGCAAGGTGTAGCCACCTCCTGTAATTTGTAGTAGCTACCTACCTAGCAAGCAAGTCCGCGGCCGCTCTACTGCTTTACTTGACATTTGCGTTCGAGAGAAAGCGTTATGTAGTGCTTAATTGGGATGGGAAGCGGAACACGTTTTGATGAGACCTAGTCGTATACCACAAGGTTAATCCGAGATGGATGTCATTTCTTTTGGGCGTAATCCGATCAGTTATCGATCATTCCAGGTCCCCGGCGTGCGGCAAAACTGCTGCTCCGGGCTTCACAAATGGCAGCGAGACCAAAAGAGTGGGGCAGGCCAGACCAAGCCGCCAGCAAATCGACAGAAATCCATCAGGAGGAGCAGCGACAGATTGATTGTTTTCTTTTCAATTCCACGACACACCAACAGACCCTGTGACCATGGTGATCAAGATCCGCCTAGCGCGCTTCGGGCGCCGCAACTTTCCCATTTACAACATTGTCGTCGCGCACGCCCGGTATGCGCATCCGCCGCCCCTTGTCGTTCGCCCCCCCCCAAAAAACTAACATTTCTTTGCTCAGCACGGCGCGCAACTCGAAACCTCTCGAAGTCATTGGCACGTACGACCCGGTGCCCAAGGCCGACCCGTACGCGGCAGCCCCCGCGGCCGGCGGCTCCCGGCCGGCGCTGCACAAGGACGTCCGGCTCGACACGCAGCGCGCGCGGTACTGGATTGGCGTCGGCGCGCAGCCGACGGATACCGCGTGGCGGCTGCTCAGCATGGTCGGCGTCCTGCCGAAGAAGCAGTTTGGCCCGGTGCGCCCGCCGCCGACGACGACGGTGGACGTCAAGGATGTGCGTATCCGTTGACGCGGGCGCGCGCCGGTGGGTGATTTTTCCAACGATGGACGGACGGATTTCGAAGCCGAAATGGAAACAAGTCTGGCATGGTTGACTCGGGAACGAACGTCGACTCTGATTTTGGACAGCATGGCCATGTACAGCGGATATGGCACACGCAAAACTTTCTTGTATCACTACCTGCGACGAGCATATTCTTTTTCACACTGGCGTTGGGAACTCTGGAGAGACAAAACATGTACAAAACATAGAGGATAAATGCTGCCTCTGTATAAAAAAATACCTAGGCATATACATTCCAAATACAACTTAACTACACGTCCATGGATTGCCGTCTGGTTGTGAAGTGGACAAAGTTTTTTGAGCCATACCATCTGCAATCAAACGGCTATATTCTGCTCTACTGCGCTCGCTGCAATTATGCCAATGGCGCTGTTCAAAAGTACGAATTTGTACATGTACCCAAATCAAGTCGTAAATTCCGCGCGAGGAAAAAGTAACCAACCCAATGCAAAAGAGACGGCACTAATCGACCCTTATTCCCAGGTCTGCGTTTGCAAAACCCCATAATGTAAAACAGTGGCCGGAGCCAAAAATCTTTTCTGTACACGTTTCAACTTGCCCAAACAACCATGTTCCTCGTTAGCGAACTCTCCCAAAAGACCCGCTCTAATGCGATGTGGTGAAAAAGAGGTTCATTATTAAACAGACGGCCATGACGACAACGCCGTATATGGCCAAGACCAAGGCGGCCTTACGGATAACCTCGTGGTCAATGTGTTCAAGGTCCCAGCGCCACTTCTTGCGCCAGCGCCAGACTCCTCGAGGGCCTGAAGGACCAGGCGCGGCGGGGTTCTGCGCCAGGGCCGCCGACTCCTCAACATCTGAAGTTGAGTCTTCGAGGTCATCGTCTTCCTTGAGTAGACGCTGGTGGTGGATGCTTTCGGGGTCGCTAATCTTGTAGTAAAACAGGCCGGGCAGGATAAAGCTGATCGAAGTGGATCCAGTGCTGCCGACAAAGGCGAGCATGCGGTCCAGACTACTAACGGAAAGAGCGGTAGCGTATGCGCAGGTAAGAATGATAGTGGTGAGGAGGGCGAATCGCATATCCGACATCGGGGCGGTGCTGCCATGGTCGCCGCGGTTGGCGGTCGGCACCGGGGAGCTGGGACGACCGTTGTTATTTTGCGAGCGATTGGGGCGCCAGCCAAGGACGGCATCGAGAGAGGCGCGGCAGGGGTGGACCTGGAGCGGTATCGAGAAGAGGACGAGGATGACAATGGCTGCCTTGCCAATGGTGGAGGCAACGCCAGTAGCATCTGGACAGATTAGCAGTGACCGGAGAGGGGGTTTTGCAGAACAGGCTTACACATCATGATGATGTTTCCAACTACCGAGTTGCCGAAAGTAATGTAGCCAGTAATGGCGACGAGCAAGTAGATGAAGCCAGCAGAGCCAATGCTGCTGCCCACAACGGCAACCACGCTGCCAGGTGTGTTGTCGCCAAGTTCGTTGAGGATGGAGAACATCTGGAGCGTGTTAGCGTGAGGATAATGGACGGGTAGTGAAGGTCGGTTATTACGTTTTGATGGCATGTATAAGCAAAGACGACAACGGGCAAGGTACTTAAGGTCTGGACGGCACCGGCCCATTCAATGACGCGAATGTCGCCGGGGTCGGCGTGGACATCAGCAGCAAAGTGGTAAACGACGAGGACAATCAAGTAGCCTATGGAGACGAGGGCGACAATGCTAGTGTATTTGAGCGAGTCGAGGCGGCGCAGGAAGCTGAGGGGGATGACGAGGAGCATAAAGGCGGTGATCCAGAAATGGCGGTTGACGAGGTAGGGAAAGTTGTCGGTGTGGTTTGTGAGGCCCTGCATGACGCCGGGCATCAGGTCGCCAATGATGATCATGTAGGAGACGCCAACGCCGAAGCACTTGATGGCGATGGCGAGGTCGAAGATGACGGCGGCGTTGGGATAGGTGAGCTGGGAGAGGGCGAAGAAGGAGGCGGTGCCGCGGTCGAGGTATCGGGCGCATCGCGATTGGAGATAGAGGCCGAAGGCCGAGGTGAAGGCGGACCAGAGGATGAGGACGACACCAAGCATGATACCCATGTGCGAAAGCACAAAGGGCATTGTGAGGGTGCCAGCTCCTACGACTGTTGCATGGCGAGGGAGGGTTAGCGACGATGCGAGCTGGGGAGGCGGTGGGCTCCGGGCAGCGGGGGAGGAAGGCAAGAAAAGAGAAGATATCATACTGGTATTGAGGAGGTTGACGACGCTGCTGGCGCGCGAAGCCTTGCCCGCGTAACCGGCATCTTTACCGCCGCGTCGTCGGTGTCTGCTGTCGCGATAACCGCCAGAATTAGCTTCAACGTGGCCAACCGGATCCGGGGGGTCACTGGGATGGCGGCCGTTTTCCAATCTCCAACGAGAATGGACATGGGAAAGCCGAGAAAAGAAGAATATCGTACCTCGACATGTCGCTAGCGTCTGTATTCGAGAGCTGTGCATTTGTGATGGTTGAATAATTCGTCATAGCCGGCGCAAAGGGAGCGCCGCCTCCAAATTCAAGGTGCGAAAGTGCGCCTTGAGAGGAGGAAGAATGGGCGGGACCAGGGGAGGAGGTGGGCGAGGGCGAACGCACGGGGCGACACGACGGGGGGCACAGGTATGTGGATAAGTGGTGAATTGGGCGTCTTGAAAAAAAAAAAGCAATGTCGCGCTGGATGATGGTTTCTGATCGATGGGTTTTGGGGTCGTAAAATATAAAAGAGGTAGCGCTTGAGAGAGTCAGGCTGCTCGAGTTCGATTGGCTGGCTGAGGCTGCAATGGTGAAACAGCAGCGAGTCGGCGCCAAGGTTGCGGGTGTCGCAGGCAGATGGTGTCGTACAAAGGACTCTTTGGCAGTGACGCTGGGCAAAGCAAAGGCAAAAAAGAAAGGAAAAGAATGTAAGGAAGCAAGACAGCGAGTGAGATGGAAGAATGTGGGAAAATCAATTAAGAGGACGCAGATGATGATGTTGAGGGAGGAAAAGAAGGCCGACCACGGACAAAAACGGGGCAGGCAGCCACAAGATAGCGATCAAGTTGCTGACGCCTTTTATCGCATCTATTGTGTTTGTGGTGATGGAAAAGGCATTTTGGTCAGTTCAGCTCTTTAGGCACCGGGTTTAACCTACCTAGCCTCTGGGTTTATTAGTCACAAACGATGCCGACCCGTCGGCCGTGTTACGGTGGCGTTCGCTGATGCTGATGCCTTAATCACCATCGGGTAACGAGACATCCAGGCTGCTGTGCCCGACTCTGGCCGAGCATAACTAGCATCGAATCACGGACAAAAGACAAACGGCTGGAGCCACGTTGAATGTCTGTCGGTATTTCCGTCGCCCCAATCGCCGTGACCGGCCCTGCAGCCAAACGCCAGATGCATCAGGTACAGCTCGGCCTAATTAGTAACACATTCAGGGCGGATGGTCAGTGTCAAGGTCCGATGCTACCCATCCAACCACTCATTCCCCCATTCCCGCAGCCTGGTCACAAGAGTTGCGCCACGCAGGCGTCGAGGCTTGGAGTACATTGGACGACACATGATCACTAAAAAATTTCCCCTTTCTTCTCTGCTCTTACATACTATCTTCCAAAAAGATAAGCAGAAACAAGATGCCGACAACGCCGACATGGTGCTTGAGTGGGTGTCGCCGCCTCACCATCGCTGCGCAAAACAACCACAGCTTGTGTCGTACAACCATCGCCCTCACGAGCATCAACCCCAGCTAAAATCACACACAATTCATACCCGAAAATCAAGTTGGAATTCATTAGGGTTACAAAAATATGCCAACGCACCCGCCAAGGGCTTGGCAGCTTTGCACACCACTATCAAATATGAAGCTTACATCACAGCAGACTCCCCAAGTGCATGGCAACGATGAACAATTGCACTGACGACACCCTCAGAAAGCGTCTGCAACTGCCAGTTCGTGCTGCTATGGTTTGCTTTCCCCCACGCCCCGGCCTTCTAGCTTGAACATATCACCCACAATACCCCGAGAACACCCATCACGGGCTTGACCAGACCGCCCACCTCGTCGACGACCCCTCGCTGTCGTCGTAGTAGCCGCGGCTGCCACTAGATGGACGTCGCGAGCTGCCATATCGGCGGCATGTCGTCGTCCTCGTCGTGGTAGGTCAGGGTGCGGCGGACTGGGAGCGGCAAGGCCAGACAGTCCGGCCAAAATGGCGGCGTTGACAGTCTCAGTGCGCGTTCTGGGCCTGCTTTCATCTCCTGCAAGAAGGTCAGCGAAAGAGCAGCGCACCGGCGCCAGTCGACGGGCCAAACGCAGACTGCGAGGGACTGAGGCAGATGAATGACATTGCCAGTAAGTATGCGGCGAAATGTTTCACTTGGTTAGTTACTTTGCCGGGTTGTTAAAACGGGAGTTTACGAGGCAGAATATGGAAATTCTGGAGGGTAATATGAGCTTCGAGTTTACCATCTGGAGTATTGCTACGGAGGGTAAGGCAAGTGAGGCTCAGGGTCGATGTCTTCTAGTTCTTACAACAGAGTTGCAGCAGACCTACCTTTCCTTCCATGCCCTTCAATTCGCTTAGAAAATTTATCATTTTTAATTTTCCCTCCAAATTCACAGGTGTTCGTGTAGTCGGCTGCAGCACCCCATAAAACAGGTTGGAGCAGTACAAGGTTGTAAGCGCCGCCACTCATGACCTCTTCGCCCACCTGGGTCCATACTACTACGTGTTCTAACAATATTCCTCTGGGGTTCGGGTTTAGGGCACTTGTCGTCAGCTATCCATACCTGTGTCAAGGTAAATCATTTTTCCAACCGGGGACTTGCCATCAGCTTCATAATTAGTCTCCAAAGAGTTGTGGGTGCCGCCACTTGATAGGTGTCTGCGCCTCTGTTACGGCCTGGACCATCTAGACGAAAGCCGACGGCTAATTAGTAGGCTATGTTCGGATAAATGCTCAAGTTAAGAGCTCCTCTGATTTCGCATCCACTGCTTATTGTACAAATATGGTTGAAAATCATTCTCAATTGGTATCGTTGTAGAAAAGCACTATAAATTTCATTTAAATGACTCCACCCACAGAACTGTCGCCCAAGATGGCAAATGACAGACAGCGTCGGACATGAGCAGCTTCTCCGACCTAAACGTGGAAAGAATACGTTTACTGCTTATTAGGGATAACTTCGTGTTGTTCAATCGGAGGGGTACGCGGCTTCTCAATCTCTGAAATCTTGGCCGCAGCCTCAATGTCACCGTGTTCAGCCCTGCGCATGGCGCTAGTGACAGCATGAGTCTTCCAGGCCGGCGTGCCCATGTACGGAATACCCTTGGGGTCCTCAAACATGGCCTCAGTTTCTTCAAGGGTCTTGCCGGCCGTTTCGGGAAAGGTAAAGTATACGTGAACGAAAGCAGCCACGTTGAAGACGGCAAAGACAATGTAGGCCTTCCACGCAATGTTGGCAAAAGCGGGAGGCGTGAAAAGGCCGAGCGCAGTGTTGAAAGCCCAGTTCCCAGAAGTGGACAGAGCAACGCCCTTGCTGCGAAGACGGAGGGGGAACAGCTCAGGGGGATAAGTCCACGAAGCGGGACCCCAGGTGGGAGCAAACGAAGCGACGAAGAGATAGGTTCCGGCAATGAGAACCTTGGCGGGGGCACCAGAGACCCTCATCGACAGGACATCTTGCTTACGGTCAGCTTTGGGGATAATCTCGGCGTGCGTCGCCAGCAGGCCAGCATTCATAAACATCCAGAGGCCCATGAGGGTGGAACCGACGAGCATGGTCTTGCGGCGACCCCATCTGTCTGCCCAGAGCAGCGCAGGGACAGTCATGAAGACATTGATAATGTACTGAATGGAGGAGGCGAGCAGGTTGGCGTTGCCGACGTACCCCGCCATTTCGAAAATGTAGGTAATGTAGTACATCATGACGTTCATGCCGCAAAGCTGAGACCAAATCTGGGTAAAAAGGCCAATGACGGTTCGGTTGAGCATCTGTGGCTTGAAGAGATCGAGGTAGGTCACATTGGCGTGGCGGCGCTCAAACTCGCACATGTCTTTGATGTCCTGCAGTTCGTACGAGACAAAGGGGTGGTTGGGATCGCCCTGGCCGTGGACGAGGGTGAGAACGCTGTGGCACTCCTCCCAGCGGTCCTTGCGCGCAAGCCAGCGGGGGGATTCCGGGAGTGGCATCATCATGAAGAAGAGGAAGATGGCGGGGATCATCTGAAGCGCCCATGGGACACGCCAGTTGGCGGTAGTATGGTCGTTCCACTCATTCTTGCCAATCTGGGCGCAGCCGTAGGAGATGTAGTACATGATGAGAATGCCCCAGGTAATGGCCCATTGCTGGAAACCAATGAAGCGCCCACGCTTGGAGGGGGGCGAGATCTCGGCAATGTAGACGGGGACCTGCGCAGACTCGATACCGACAGAGAGACCATTGACGATACGGCCGAAAATGAGCATGCCCTGGTTCTGAGAAGCCGAGCAAAGAATAGAGCCGATAACCCTAGCAATGTGTTAGGCGGTCTTTTGTGTACTTGATTAGGAGCATGGGCCTACCAAATAACAGCGCCAATCATGATGGACTTTTTACGGCCGAGGCGATCAGAAAGAATACCTGAGATGAGGGCGCCGAGCCAGGAGCCAGCAGCCATCGAGGCAACAATACCGCCCTGGGTGAGCGGTCTGGGACCGCTGCATGGTTCCTGCGTAAAGGGAGGGCCCTTGGGGCCGTCGTTGAAGTAGCAGTTGTAGGATTGCTCGCCGAGCTGGGCCGACATGGACGAGATATCAAAGCCGAACAGGGCGCCTCCGACGACGGAGACGCCTGCAATGACGTACAGGTTGCCAATGGGCATGATGGAGAACTAGCCAGCCTCGCCTGGAGGTACGAGGTTTCACTCGAGTGGGAAAGCTGTCGGCGTCCGTCAAGGAGTCAACAACATGCGACGAGGGGAGAAAGCCAAGGCACGAAGCTTGGTCTAGGAAGAGGGGTGGGAAGCGGGCGCTCTTTTATAGCATAGCAGGTAAGTAAAAAGAGACAGGGGTCGAGAGCAGGCGATCAGCGAATAGACTCTCACGCGGACGACGACGACCGGGGGGGCGGTTCCCAATGGTGCGTGAGGCTAGCCACACCTACTGGTGCTTGACGACATCTAGCTTCCATTTGGAAAAGACGCGCGCGGGCAGCTGGAGCAGGGGATCCATGAATGGCCGAGCCTAGCACAGGTTTAAGCCGACTCTGGGGTGATGGGTGCATTTGGGAGTGTCGAGATGGTGTGGGACGGTGTATGTTAGTGTGGTGGTGGTGGTGTGGTGGTGTCGGGCCAAAGCCAAAGACAACTAGCCAGCCTGGCTTTTATTAATGATAGATGTCATTAGACTATTGAGGTGACAACAAAGCCGGCCGGTCGACGCTTGTTGATGCTTTCGGTAGCTCGTAGCTGTGGTATTGTTGTTTTGGCGAGTATGCGACCCCTCTCAGCCTTTTTTCTGTTGCGACTCCACCAAAATTAGAATCCTCCTCCCACACATACATAACTGTCCAAGGTTATTATCAGCCGCCATTATTCCTCGGCCTCGAAGCGGGAGATTGCATCAAGTTTACTGGTACTTGAGCTCTTGAAACATGTACGATGCTAACGAGCCCATTCTCGAGCAAGATTTTCACGGACACCATGGAAGCCCGAGTGTCAGCGCTGTGTAAACGACGGCGCTCTCGAGAACCTGGTGACACCTTTGTACGACAGGCCCGCGCCGTATTCTCACCGAAAACTGCAAGCATGCCCGTCGCCTGTCTGTTCCACACATGCAGTTCACCGGGCGCTGGAAAAGCAAGGCCTAGCCAAAGCTTGGGGGCCGTTCTCAGCATTGGACAACTTTTGCGGCGACCGGGGGGCGTGGCAAGCCACAAGGAGGGGGAGGGAGCGATCGACGAGCCGAAATGCTCACGACGTGGAGTGCATGCCGCCGAGAATTAGGCCGTTTGAGCAGCCAGAACGACAAGGAGACAGCAACGGCGCATTGAACCTGTACGCTTGGGATAGCGTCAGAGGCGCTCTCCAGAGTTGCCCGGCTGTTTGTTTCCACATATTGCATACACTGGTGTCTGGCCTGCGGCCCCTGCTGGAATGCCGACTCCTTTGTTTGTTACCTCAACTGTTGCGGATCATCTGGTGATCGTCGCTGCGGGGGAGGAGACTTGCCCAAAAACGTGGTCCGAACCCCTAGCGGCTCTACGAACTCGCCAAAGGGACTTGTAGAAGAAGCCTTTTTCATTTACCTTGAAGATTTCCTGCTTTTCGCCAGAGCCTGCTTGGCTTTCATCAAACCCTCAATGTTTGTATCGCGAGAGAAAAACCCACCACATCGGCCATCGCTCTCCACCATGGCGTAAGCCACCGCGTCAAGCTGGGTTGGGACGACGGCGTTTTCTTTTTCGCCAGCTACGCCCGGGCCCGTCTTGGCAGAAAACTGTTGTTTCGGCTCCGGTTCGCCAGAACCAAGAGAGGATGCTGACGGGACTGGTCATATACAGGTCATTTCAAGCTCAAGTGGCCGACTAGCAGAAGAAAGTTGGGCTGTCATGGCACCAAGGACACATACAGCCATTATGATCCAGCGTTTAGGCTTCAGACAAGGCTCCGGCTAACTTATAAAAGTGCTACCAACAGACCCTGAATCACTTAACTATTGGTAAGTACGAATTGTGGACTGCAGCCGAAATTGACTCTCTACCCCGGATTTCTCGCAAGACAGCATGCCATGTTTTACTTGTCGCCTCCGGGACGGCGACCCCCGTGCTCATTATTACGCAGGCCCTTCCACGTACTGATCTAAAGACTATATGCGATTCCCTTCACTTGTACCATGACACATTTCATCCGCCACCGACCACAGAGACGTTCCAATAATAACTGGCCCTGTTATCAGCACCAGTCTGGACCCACAAGCTGCTCAGGTGCTTCCCTCCGGCTTCAATTGTGCCGCTTGACTTCCGAGGCTGGTAATAATCAAACACACCACCGCCGCACCCGGCCCGCCGTTGTGTCCTTCACGGATCCTGTCCAGCCACATATCCACAGTAGGTCCGATGGATGCAACTTTGCTCCGGGCCAATGCCCTACTTGCCTGCAAGCCTTATTACATATCCGCACCAAACAAATGACAGATGCTGGTCGGCGCAGGACCCCGCACGAAACTTTGCTCGACAAACGCTGGTGCACTCGGAGAGGCGGTTCATAGTGTCCTCTCAGCATACGAGGCTATCAGCCGGTATGTGCTTTTCGGTGGCGGAGCTGGCTGGCGCGCCCATCAAGCCACTGGAAATAGTGTCTCATATGTAAACCCCGACGGAGCCAGACGCCATCATCGTTGCAAATCGCAAAGAGCCCTTTACAACAGGTTTCTCGACCATTTTAGAGAATTTTTCTCACCCGGAACCCTGGACGACCAAAGTCCAGGCGCACGATGGAACGTCGTTTATCAAGGGCCATTTTTAGCTGTTGGAGTAGCCCAATTGTCGCTCTCGGGCTAATACAAAGCGAGATCAAGATCACCAGTCACGAGGCGTTTTTGGGGCGGCCACCTCCAACTAGGCCCGCCAACCCGCGTGCCCGCCAGCCAACAGAAAGGGATGGCTTTGGTGGCGTCGAGTGAATGGCGGGGGGCATCATCCACCCTGAACATTCTGCTTTGCTCATAATATCCGGGCAGTGGCTCCGAAAGGAACGTTGTATCGTACCAAAACAAGGGCAGGCAATTCGGGCAATTCGCAAGGGCATTGGGGACCCACGGAGGGAATGCCTTGTACTTTTCACCAGTTCTGCTTTGCAATTCTGACTACAAGCGGCAACCTCGCACTAGATTTCCCACGGGCCAATTGGTCCTGAGGCACCCAGTCCTAAGTATGGAGACGCATTAAGAATTCGCAACTCTTCCTGGATGCGATTCTCTCGCGTGCAATTCCTCTTCTGTCCCATTCTCACGTTCTACCTTGATACCGAGATCGGGAACGCAATGCGCCGGCTAGCCGCAGCCAGTGGAGTGAAACAAATTACCCGTGGGGTAATAGGGACGAAAAGGAGCTCACAAAAGAAATTCGGATGTCAAAACACCCGCGACATCTTTTTTTCTTATCATCACTCCGCAGCCCATCAGGCTACGCCTTTTGCAGCATTGGTTGATGGCCTGCTTCGCTGTGGTGTCACGCGAGGGACTTCATCAGCACCCAAATCCAAGTTCGGATGGAAGCCGAACGATCTAGAGACATTCACTTCCGGGGTAACTGGTCTAGCCTTGTTTCTGTTTATGTGTCATGTATGTCTTTGCCGTTTTGCATGAATCGTGCAGAATCTGAAATTTTGGAAAAATAAGGGTGTGGGAGTTTGCCGGGCAGGCTCACCCGGCACCAAGCCCCAGGGCGATATCTGGTAGGCGCAATCGCACGACCTGGTACAAACAAAGTGACAGTATCTATTCATGGCTTCTTCCAACATGGAGGGCCTGGAGTCTGTTTCATCTGCCGGTGAGAACAGCTGACGCTTGCATATTTCGAGCTGCTGCCAAGATGCCAATCTCGTCTGTGGCTTTTCCGCCAGATTTCCATGCTCACTCATCCCGACAATCCCACTCCACCCACCTCCGAATCACCTCGTCCACCTTTCGAGCATCCTCTCTCGTCGTGCCCACCTCGAACCACTCCCTGTGATCCCTACCGCAGGCCTTGCACGTCTCCCTTTCCGCCCGGAGCCCCATGCCGGTGAGCTCAATATGCACCAGCCGCTCCACACGCTTGGCGTGCGGCGTCATCATGCCTGCCGCCGGCGCCGGGGGCGTGTCGCCGCTCCCACGCCGAGGACGGCCTGGGGACGGCGTCGGCGTGGACGAGGACGTGTACGGGTAGTACCGCAGGACCTCGACGTCGTACCCGCACTGGCGCTGCCACTGGTTCATCCGCCGCTGCACGTTGGCGGCGCGGCCAATCTTGAGCAGCATCGTTTGTTTGCCCGGCCGGCCGTCGCGGTGCGACTGCGAGGCGTAGCGGGAGACGGCGTCGCTGGCGCGGCGGCCGCGCGCGGTGGATGGCGGCGGAGGGGCGAGCAGCGACCGTGCGGCTTCGACGGGAGCCCGTTGGTGCTGCTGGTCGCTGGCATCCGAGTCCTGCACGAGCCAGAACATGTAGATGTAGCCGGGCTCGTCGGATTCGGCGACGGGCCGCACGAGCTCGGCCATGAGCAAGGCTGCCGTAGCGGCATCGACTGAGTCGGGTATGACGGTCTTTAGTTGCGCTGTGATGGAGGTCTCTGACCTGTAGCTTTTGGCAGGTGACGGCAAAGGCGGCTGATACGAGGGTGGTCGAGGGCGATTCGAGTATGCTGCTGGGGATGGTCGCTGCGGCTGATAGGTCGGCATCGGCTCCTGCTGGTATGGCTGATTTGAGGGTCTTGCTGGCTTTGGCTTTTCTGCTGGCTCATGGTCGACCTGCTGAATCGGAATGCTAAAGCAGCAGCAAAATTGGAGCTGGCTCGTCTTCTTCTTCTCCCTTTTGTGCTGCTGCGGCCTAGGGGGTCGCCCCGGTTTCCCCTGATATCCCGGTGGATAGATGGTGGCGTCCTCGCGTCTACCAAGCGGCTTCCTTGCAGGCCTGCCAGCGGTGGTGTGCTTGTCGCCAATGTCCACCAAGCCGAGCCGGTCGGCCAGCGTGTCGAGGCTGGTGCGTTCCTCGCGAATCGTCGGCACCGCTCCCCCCTTTGGCCCCGGGCTAGAGCGTGCCGAGCGGCTCGCCTGCTCCTTGTGCTGCCAGCAGTAGAAGTTCTCCTCCGCAGGGTCGTCGTCGGAGAAGGCGGTCAGGCGGGGTCTGCCTGCGTCGGGGCGCGCGCTCAGCGGCCGGCGGCACGGACGGCCAGCCGAGGTGATGCCGCGACATGTAGACTTGGGGTTCTTGGAGTCGGAGCGCGCGAGCAGCGACTCGGGCGTGTTTGCGACAAACGGCATGAAATACGGCGGGTGCACACAGCGGAACGGTAGCGTGCGTGCGTCGGGTTTGGAGGGGGAAAGCCCGTCCCAACCACCTGTGGCTGTAGGCTATCTCATTTGCAGCGGTAGAAGTCGCTGAATTAAAAAAAAAACGCGACGATGAGATGAGAGACACAAAATTTGACCGTCTGAACGAAGATGCCTTTCTAAACAGAAATCGGGGCAGAATTGAAGAAATGTGAATGAGTTGGGTTCTGGTGGAGGCGAGGTTGGTTGCCTGCGGGCGAGCCCAAGTGTGGCTGGGCCGTGGCGCAGCATCATGCATGACCTGCGCAACATGAACACCACGGAGCTTGTGCGGGGCAGCGCAAGGTCGGAAAGAGCACAGGAACTGCCCAACCGAAATAGAGTCCAACACTTGATTCGCCGGGACGAGCCCGGACGATCCACGAATACTCTGTCATCACCCGCCACAGCCTCACCATCCGTGTAACGCGGTTCTTCGCCCATCCGCTTGTCGTTGTGCCCTATGCCTCTCAATACCAATCATCCTGACAAGAACATATTCATGTTTCAAAGTGACGGTCCGGCTTTGTGTTCGTAACTCCGTACCTCGTTATCGTCTGAATTAATCAACTCCGCCGCCGCATCTCCGCTCGCTTGTTGGACGGCGGCGACAGTGGGTCCCGAGCGGCGCCGCTAGTCCTAGAAAGCGCCGCCCGTCGCCGCTCAGACAGACGAGACAGCCGTGTAAGTGACCATAAATACAACGACTGCTCCTGCTTTTCCCAAGATCCAACTCACCATCTCAAAAACGTTTCCATCCCGACATCCCATTAGCCCACTACACAATCCAACAATGTCCAAGTACAACAAGCTCGAGGGCACCCGCGTCCTCGTCCTCGGCGGTAGCTCTGGCATCGGCTACGCCGTCGCTGAGGCCGCCCTGGAAAGCGGCGCCACCGTCTACATCAGCAGCTCCAGCCCTGCAAAAGTAGACGCCGCCCTCGCCCAGCTCCACGCCCACGCCGGTGTCGTCCGGCGCGAGCCGCTCGCCTACGGCCGCGCCTGCGACCTCGGCGACCCGGCCGCCACCGAGCGCAACCTGACCGCGCTGCTCGACTGGGCCACCGACGACGGGACCAAGCCGCTCAACCACGTCGTCTTCACCGCCGGCGACGCGCTGCCGCAGACGCCGCTCTCCGCGGCGACGGCCGACGGCATCCTCGCCGGCTTCCACGTGCGCGTCATCGGCGCGCTGCTGCTCGCCAAGCTGCTGCCGCGCTACACGGCCCGCTCGAACAAGACGTCGTACACGCTGACGGGCGGCAGCCTGGCGGCGCGCCCGGCGCCAGGCATGGCCCTGGTCACAGGCCTCGCCGCCGCCATGGAAGGCTACGCGCGCGGCCTCGCCGTCGACTTGGCGCCGATGCGCGTCAACGTGGTGCAGGCGGGCGCCGTGCGCACCGGCCTGCTGGGGGACGACCCGGATATGCTGGCGCTGTTTGCCAAGGACACCATTACGGGCACGGTGGGACGACCGGAGGAGATTGCAGAGGCGTACCTGTACCTGATGAAGGACTCGTTCATCACGGCGGCGGTGATTGAGTCGAGCGGGGGCCGCAACGTCGCCGCGAGGCAAGAGGTGTCCGAGTTCAACTAGTAATAGACCACGATAAATGTAGGCAATATTCAAACACATTTAGTCACTCTGGAATCACGATGCCTTGGCCGTCGTCTGCGACAGCCCAGTCGCCGCAGCGCTTCAGCAGGCCCCTGGCGCCGTAGTCTTTGCCCGCGCGAACGTCCTCCTCGCGCATGCGAATGTGGAACTTGAACCCGATGAGGAACCTTTTCCCCATCAGGCCCAGCGAACTGTGCGCCTGCATGCTAAACGCCGCCAGCACCTGGAGATCCGACCGCAGCGCCGTGTCCCGCCTCGCGTCCGCCGACGGCTGGTGGTGGTGGTGGCCGGCGCCGGGACACAGATACTCCATGATGAGCACGCGCGTGCTCACAAACAGCGCCGCCGTGGTGTGCGCGAGCATAAACGACGACGCCGGGCCCGCGCGGCTCGCGTCGCGGAGCAGCTGCACCGTGTTGCGCGCCGCGCGCACGGCGTGCGGCCACTGCGCGGCCACGACTGCGGCATCGTCGTCGCAGCGCAGGGCTCGGTGGTGCAGGAAGATTGTGCTGACGCTCAGCACGGCTGACAGCCACACGACGTACGGCACGTCGCCGGGCTTGGCCAGGGATACATCCGACGCGCAGCCGGGCAGGAGCAGGCGGATCTGCACCAATTGCTCAATGAGCGCGTCCAGCGCGGCCGGCCTCTCCTCGTCTGCGTCCTGCATGTATACTTGCTCCGTGACACGGCCCAGCAGCACATACGCCAGAAGAACGTAGTGCAGCATTGTGCACGCGCCAGCGTGTCTTCCGTGCTCCCGCACACGCGCAATCAGGCGGTCCAAGTCATTCGTGTACATCAATGCCGGCCCATCTACGGCGGTCTGCTCCGCGAGCAGCCCCTGGAAGCAGTCTTCGCTCATGGGGAAGTGGACCACGAGGCAGCGCTCGTCCACGGCGTGCACCATGCCGATCGGGTAGCACAGGCCGCGGTCGAGGATGAAAAAGGCCCAGACCACGCGGCGGCACTCCTCGCGCTGGACGGGCCCGTCCAGGCCGCGGACGGAGCCGAGGTACTGCACCAGCGTCTCGTTGTCGCGCGCGTCGACCTGGTGGTAGCCAATGACGGCGGCCTTGCGCCACGCCTCGCCGAGCAGCATCCACGTCACCGGGTAGTCGCCCTGCTGCAGCGCGGCAAAGACGAGCAGCACCGCGGCCTGCAGCGTCTGCAGGGGCTGCTCCTCGGTCGGCAGCGACTTGCGGAGGGCGTCGCGGGCGAGGCTGCGCCAGTGCGTCTGGTTGGCCCGGATCGGCGCGCTGGGGTGGCCGCTCGCGGCGACGGTCAAGACGGCGAAGAGAAGAGCGGGCGAGATGCCGTCGGCGCCGCAGGCTTGTAGGCGCGAGACCAGTTGGCGTTTGTGCAGGATGGGGAGGTTGGGGTAGAATCGTTCGAAAAAGACGTCGACTAGGTCAAGGATCACGTCCAAAGACGGGACGGCCGGCTCCGAGTCTGATTTGGGGCTCGCATTCTCCGGTGTAGGCAGCCCTTGAATTGTCTCCGTCATTGGTACGATATCAGGACCAAGCTCAAACCACGAAGGCGCCTCTGTAAAAGCCACGGGGGGCACGCTCGCGTTGCCGGGAAGCTGGCCGGACGCGAGGCCGGACGCTGGCCAGCCGGGCACATCTGTCAGCACCGCATCCAGGTCCTCCGCGGCGAACCAGCCATCTCCGGCAAACGTTAGCTGCACGTTGGTGGGCGGCGGCGTGTATACGCAAATGCCGCCACGCTTCAGACAAGGAGTGCATGCTGGCCGTGTACCCTACGATTATTGTGAGCGCAGTTCTCCTCCAGAGAGCGATGCTGTACACTGACATTGCATTTTTTCTTTCTGGCACGACAACCGGAGCAGACGTCTTTTGATTTGGCCGGAAAGGACATTTCGTCTGTGCTTGCAATTCGGGTGTTTGAAGTTATCCGTTTGCGATGGCCTCATCTGAGTATGCTTAACTCCCGATAGCGTCACGTGACACTTTATCGTGATTTGAACATTTCTTCGACGTAAAGGGAAGTAATCCCTATTTTTAACGTGTCGGAACATTATGATTACTGGCTCTTGCAGTTTAATTTATGCTATGACTTGCCCTTATCGCTTAGAGCTGGCTAGCGAGGGTTGATGTTGTTGGACACTACCAACTTGTAAACGCCGATGTGACTACATTAAACCAAGCACTACACGAAACATTAAATCCTGTTTCTCTCGAGAATCTATTTAATCTTTTTGGAATTCTTTCTTTCTTTGCTAGATTTTCCTTTGTCAACATGTTTTTTTCTGCTTTCCTAGAAGCCTCTACGATAACAACTGGTTCAGATTGTGCAGGACTTGGACGCCCAACGCCCTCCCAGCAGTCTTGTACACTCGTGCCATTCCTGGACGGGAACTCGATTCCCCTGGCTGATGATGAGCACGAGAGTGGAAAATGAATACTTTAAATCATGTGAATACTATTATTAGGTGCAAGGCTGCCGTAGAGCCCGCCGCTGTGTTTCACTGCCTTGTCCTGCTTAGACTTGCGAGCGTGGAATGGAAGACATTAGCCTGATCAGATTGAGAAAGCTATAATGGACTCACTCCGATGTTGAAACTGAAACTTGGTTGAATTCAATATTTTCTATAGGTGTACGGAGCTCACTCCATCGGTGTTGGATCGTCGTGAAACGGCAAGGCTCGCACAGCAAGAGACTTCTTTGATCACGTAGTTGTCCCTACACTCATGACTTATGACATCTCGTGTATTAATGCAAAACTATCCATACCAAAATCCATCGAGCTGCATACAGAACGCTGAAGCTACAAATCCTACAAATCAGAGATGAAAACCAACACAGAAACAAAAAAGCGCGCAAACTTCGGCGCGATCAAGCGCTCAAGTAAAAAAGAAATAACCCTCAATACATCCCATTCCACATGAAAGCGGAGCGTACTCGGGGCCATGCTCCGGACGCCTTTAAACATAAAGCTCATGAGCAAGCCTACCAGAAACTGCACCACCCTATATAGTGCTGACAGAGATTTTCCAGCTTCGTCGCTTCAATGATGAGTTTGTTTACTTGGTTCACAACGTCGAGCTCCTCATTCTCCTTGAAGTCGCGGCCATTAAGCTTCTGCACGACGCGGTCCAGGACCTCGACAGCCCTGGCATTCTGCGTCTCCGTGTCTTGAGCGGCGCCATTCGCGCCGTCGGGTTCGGTTCCACTGTTGGTTCTGGCTCTGGGACGAGTGGCCAGCGGCCCGACGGCATTGCCATTGGCCATGAGTTCCGACGGTGCAATGTCGGCGTCCAAAATGGACGCTCGGCGTGCTCTGCCACCGGCGTTTAGACCGATGAGTGCCGCATCTCGCTCCGTACGGAAGTTTGGTCCGGCGGGCGAGGCCGTGTTTGTTAGACGCCAAGTGAGTAAAGGATCGTGGATGAACTGTGACCAGGTTAGTATAGACATTGCCGTGGCTCATCGGATTACTTACAGCCTCCAAGACCGCCATGACACTCTCCTTGTTGTCTCTTAGAATGCGCATAACATGTTCGCATGTAATTCGGAAGCTTCCCTCGATATTGCTTACTTCCATTGCGTAGGTAAGCATGCGAGTCAGACGGAATGGCACCCGCTCGGGGTACTTTTCCCGTTTCATTGCAACCTCGAAACAGTCGCCGAAATCAATATGGAAGATGTGCCCGTTGAGGCGATCAAGCATAAGATTGGAAGGATGACGGTCGCCTAGACCCAGAATATACCCAACCATCGACATGACACCCAGAGATCGGGTGTAGTTGGTGCGCCGCTCGAGCCAAGCCTCAGATGACTTGGATTTCAGCCACAACACACGGTAGAGATCCTGGCCAGTTGTATTATCCAAAGCATAGCCAAAGACCTCTACTTTTTGCATAAGTGTCAGATTATCATAATCAGGAGCCATCTGCAACATAATTCGATGCTCAATGTTAAGAAGAATCTTGCGGCTCTCGCGGTACTCCCGGATGAGGACGTGAAGGGTATCAGTGTTGGATCTCCACCCAATAAGGCCAGAGCTCTGCGACAACGGGATCGCTGGGAAACGCAGAATGGTGAGGTGGCGCTTGAAGCACTCTGCATCACTGGCCAGCAGGGTGTTGCAGAGACCGAACAACTGCATGACGCGCTCGTCTTGTCGGATGTCTTCGTGGCCTTTGAGAAGAAAGGGGTATGCGTTCCCATCTGTGCCACTGGCAGTGATCTTACGAGGACGCTGCTTCGAGTTGATGACTGTCAGAGTGGGTTCGAACGCTTGGATTCGCACGGGTAGTTGCCCGCTACGGTATGTGCCTGGGATAGCCAAGTCTAGGTTCTTGACGTTGAGTAGCTTAGGCGAGCAGTATGTCAGGTCCAGAGTGGTGACCTGAGGTAGTTGTCGGGAAATTCGGCGGAAGACCTGGTAGTAGAGATCCCAGGCCTGGTTCAGATCATTGAGATCCCTGCTGGTCTCATATTGATGGCACCATTCACGCGCTTCTCTCAAGTCGCGACCGAATGCTTGCGCAAATGAGATCTCACGCAGGGTCTCTGGCCCGCGTTCTAGCAAGCTATGAAGCGGCTCCAGGGTCTGGAACATGCCCTCGATATTTTGGTCGCCGAAATACAGCCGAGACGCTTCTTCCAGTCCCTCGTGCCATTGTTCATGCCAGAGTACTGCGACCCGAATGAGCTCATGGCTGACAACGTCAGCCTGAGCCACCAGATTCGCGCTGTGTTGCCGCATGCTATCCATAATCTGTGCTGCAGAGCGCGATCTGCGAGTGCTCTGCACAGACTTCATGGCTACTGTGAGAGGATAGACTAAGGCCTGAGGGTGTGCTCGGCCCACGTCTGCAAGTAGATTGTGCACTGACTGCTGCACTCGCATGTTTGGCTGGTTGATGCGTGCAATCAACTGCGGGAGAGCCTCTAGCCAGGTATCAACGCTGACATTTGCGAAGCCCTCCGTGACGGCTGCGTGAACATCCGGATGCCCGCCATGTGTGAACCAGAGCGTCAACAGACGCAGAGTATCCTGAAGTGAGCTGCCGGCAGAGAGCGCAATGGACTTGAAGAAGCCTTGGATAGCAGGAACAACGTGCAGAATGATGCCTGCAGATTCAGACCGGCTGAGCTCGCCCTCGGCGCCAGCAGTGAGAGTTTGAACAATCTCAAAGTTTGCGAGCGCCCAAGCATGCCATGCCTTGTACCAGCGTGGATTATACTTCGTGGCATGAGAATATGAGGTGAGAATCTCTTCGATTTTGTCATGCTGCCAGTTATCCTTGTTGAGCGCGATGAGCCATTCACCCTGCCGGAGGTAGCATTTCGCCAGCAGCACAGTTTGTTCCATAAGCGCCCGCTGAGTTTGCGGCGTAATGATGGCCGAGTCGACCTGATTCTGGAATGCGTAGTCGGCAGTGGTAAGTTCAGTACCGGTCTGAGACGACAGATGCATCTTTGTCATGTCAAATCGGTGAGCAGTCTCGTTGGTGAACCGCTGCAGGCAGTATAGAGTACGTTCCGATATGCGACGCAGGGGCACGCTGCTGGAGCTAGGTTGTAGGCCAGTCTCCCATTGGAACTTGAGCATCGCATATATAACCTGCGCTGGAACGTTCTTGGGCAGCGAGGAGCCTTCCTTCCAGAACGGAATCATATTCTCGAGAGGCGCTTCAACCCCAATAAGCTGCTTCAGCGACTTCTCTGCAAGACCCATGCGGCCAGACTTGCGACACAAATTGGCGAATTTGATCCACATGCGCATGTTCTCCGCGGGAGTAATGACCAGAGCACGGAGTCGAAGCACGCGATGCCAGATATCAACATTGCGCTGACAGCCTTCGAGACGAGTTTCCCAAGTCTTTCGCATCGTCGCGCGCTTCTTGTCGTCGCACTGTTTGTACACGATGAGTTCTTCCAACTCGGCAAGCATCTGAACACGGACTACAACAGGATAGGCTCTGTTGTAAGATTCGCTGACGAGGGCACTAAGCTCAGTGTCCAGACCCTCGCGAGCCTGTTGAATATTGGAGATGGCTTCTTTGAACTGGTTCCTGTGCAGAGCTAAAATGGCGCCAAAGAAGGAGCGGTCTGGCGAGTTGCGCTTCAGTGAAGACAGATAGTTGTCCATAGCGTCCCATTTGCCAAGCCCCCAGGCTGCTGCAGTTGCCAATGGTGCAATCATACGCTGCACCTCGGGGGCCGAATTTTGCCAGGTGTTGCTAGTCAGGGTGGCGAGGGCATCCCACTCGCCGAGCGCATGGAGACATCTCATCTTGCCCATAACAATGTCAATAGGAACAGCTTGTTCTGCAGGTACTTCGGCTTCACGCTTGTTGTAGAATGCAAGAGCCTCCTCCCAGCGCTCGAGCTTTTCGAACCAGGTCTCACGTAGCTGAATACCTTCCTTATAGAGCTGAGCTTTACGCAAGATGCCGATGGCAGCGTCTGACTGTTGTAATTGGTTGTTGATCACGATCAAAGCCTCCACTGCACCGGTGCTTTGGTCTTGAAGGAACTCGAGTTCCTTGTAGTGGAGAGCCTTGGCGTAAGCATGGCATCGCGCAGCCTCCCGGCCAAGAACCCGAATGTCAATTGGCAGCGCCTTGTCATCATGCTCCATGAATTCCGCGAGATTCAATAGGAGGCCAAGCAGATCCGGTGGAACATTCTCAGACTTGATGGCGCTCTCTATGTTTTGGATGAGTTCCTCCTGGAACTGCTCAAACAGTTCACTCCAGCAAGATACGAAAGCAGAATTGAAAAGCTCTCGCGCCAGAGGGAGGTAGCCGCTTGCCAGACTCGCACAAGCACGAAGCGCATGATTTGGAGATTCCGATAACAAAGTTGTGCTGAACCTTCGCACCCATTCTTGCCAGTCATCCTTTGTCGATTTGCCCTTAGTATCCCAGGCAGACTTCAGATGTATCGCGTTCATTTCTAGTTTTTTGGTGCCGAGATCCGCAAAGGCTGGTTCAAGGCCACGGTCGAAGTAGCGTGTCTCGGTATTCAGATCTTGGGGGAGCGCATCGCCCTTTTGAAGCTTGCTTACTAGGAGCTCATAGTTGGCATGCTGGATTTGTCGCAAATTGACCACTTTGTTCACAGTCCCCATGAAGTTGATATAGTCCCTCCCCAGCTGCTGAATGAGGGCGCACATTGTATCCAATGCCGCAGTTCGCAGCGTTGGTTCGCCGGTATCAAGCACGCGAGTGAGAGGATGAATGATCTTGGCAGCATAGTCGTTGAGATTGACCTGCTTGGAAATCTTGCCGATGGACTCAATGGCCTGTTTTCTGAGGAAGACAGGCTGGATTGGCTTCTCAAATGTACGCACGATGACGGGGATGATGAGGTGCATGTACTCCTCGGCACTAGCTCCAAAAACAAGGAACGCATGCAAAACTCTTTCGGAGGGGGCGCGCTTCACGCTGGTGTCTTTCTCGAGCACACCAAGCAGCATTGGTAAAAGGCCGGCGAGAAATATCTTGAACTCGCCTTCCAGAGAGCGAGAGATGGCTTCGATGAGGGAAAGAATGGTGGACTGTAGTGACGATGATTTGTTCCAGTATTCTTGCAGAATCTCAATGATGCCAGGGAGATAATTCCTAATGTGCTGTCGTACGATGCTGACCAGCGTTGCCAACTGATTAAAGTACGACTCCAACCTCGTTGAGGGCGATGACCGTATGACTTGGAGAAAGGCTGGAATAATGCGGTCCAAAAACGAGACGCACTCAAGGCCAAGGGTTCTGAAAATGTTCATGATTGCTTCGATGACAGCAGCGTGATGCTGAGCAAGAGAATGATCCTTGAGAATCTGAAGCAGGGCATTGATTGCAACAGTCGGGAAATACTCCTTGTTTGACGGGGTCAATCCGCTCATCATCAATGAGATGTCGGTTATGGGACCCGTTTCCGCATGAGACTGGGTGTCGAGGGGTTGCTCTTCCGCCTGTTGACACTTGTAAGGGTCGAGGGCACCAAGAATTCCCATGAGTTTAATAGTCTCCTGACGAATCGGCCCGCGCTGGTCTTCCGTGCGAATGATGCTCTGCAGGTTCTCAAGCAGCTGGGGGTACTCGAGATATGGCTGAATAACGTAGCCAGAGTTGCTAGCTAGTTGCCCAAGCGTGTGAAGAGCAGCCTCTCGCCGCGGGTTTGAGCTTTGGTCTTGAAGGGCTTCCAGAATCAGAGGCATGAGGCGGTCTTTGTACGGAAGCATGTCTTCACCGCCTACCGTCGCCAGCTCGCCGATTGCGTTGAGGATCGTAGCCGCGACAGCCGCGTTAGGATCGCTGGCTTTTGGTAGAAGGACTGACATCATGGGTTCGACATACGGCTTGATAAGCGACTGCGCATTCTGGACAAGCAGACGTAGTAATTTAGCACTTTCTTCCTTGCTACGTGCCACATCCGAAAATTCAAGTTCCGTTAGCATCTGAATGAGGGTTTTGCGAAGCGAGGGAATGACGTATGCCGGGTTGTATCTGGCTAGTCGGCCGATGATGGAAACGGCGACCTCTCTGATAGCAAAAGCCTCGTCATTCAGAGCGAAGAAGAGGATGCGGATATTTTCAGCTTTGGCAAGGTGGCGATCGAATCGTTCGTCCAGGGCCCCGAGCACAATCTCCCGAATACTCGGCTCTGGGTCAGAGATACCCACGGTCAGAAGTTTGTCGATTACATCGCCAACAACTTGGAGAGCATGATAGCTTGTTTGGTTAACGATTGGGTCGCGAACGTAGAGCTGACAGCAAGTAAGTGCAGCAGCCTCCCTGATTTCTGGGTCCTCGTCTTCGACGTATTTGATTGCCACGTCCCGCACAAACTCATTAAGAATATGGCCTGTGAAGTCAAAGCTTCCCAGCGTATTAAGTGCGAGCTTGACTTCAGCCCGGCGGTGTTCGTATGCTTGTGGGTCTCTGCCGTCTTTAGCAATAACAGGGACAGATGCGAGCGTGTTGGGCTGAGGAGCGCCGAGCTGCTTGAAAGGCTCACCACAAAGAACAACGCTCAGCATATCCAAAAGGCGCTCTTGAATGGTGGGCTTGACTGGAGGAATATAGAAGGCCATGTCAACCAGCGCCTGCGTAAGCTTCGGCGTGAGCTCACAGGCAAAGATCGGATCAAGCAGTGCCTCCATGTATTTGCTCAAAGTTTGGCCGACGGCCACAGCGAGACGGCTGATGCAGCCAAACACGGGGTCCACAGACCCTCGCTTGCGCGACTGAGCGCTTAGCCCTTCTCTGACGTATATGAGCACACCATCGAGGTATGGTGCGATTGCGCTCTTGACAGAATTGGCAACATTTCCGATAGCGAGGAAAGCGTCGTTCCGTTCCTTGTCCTTCTTAAGCATCCCCGAGAGGTAGACCATGAACTTGTGCAGCCACGATTGGGCAAAATCGGCCGGTGAGTAGCTGGCCAAATCGGGTATCAGAAGCACCACTGTATTTCGGATAGTTGGCTCCCGATGATCCTTGTGTCGAAACACAATGTCGCAAGCTTCTTGGTAGTGTTCCTGCATAAACATGCCGCCCTGTTCAAGAAGTTCTTTCAGCACCAGCAAAGAGCCATGTGTATACTCTACCGTATTGACTCGGAAGCCCTGTCTGCATTCGCTGTAGATTTTCCCCATGAAAATTTGCTTCATTTCCTGGTCTCGGTCTCGGATGATCTGGAAACAAGCGCTGACGGTCTCGGCTGATGCCTCTCGAATTTGCTGCCTAGGATCTCGTAGGCCAACCCATATCAGTTCGAAGACTGTTTGGATGTATTGATACATCAGCGTTGGGGCGTTGATGGCGAGCTCTCGAAGCACTAGAACGGCACTGTAGCGTCGCTCTTCGACTCGGTCGTTCTGCAGCCACTCAAACGCCATATTTACTTCGGATTCGACCAGGTCCGAAATGAGCAATCCTCCAGGACGACAGAGTTTACCGAGCGCAACAGCAGCTGGTCGCATCGGGTTCATATCTTTGCCGCGCAGAATGGTCTTCAAGCTATTGGTAAATCGGGTATATTTCATGGTGGCATCAACGCCATCCGCGTCGACGAGGGCATCTATGGCGTAGATGCCCCCCAGTCGTTCGGCCGAGTCACCGCCATGTGTGATGAGTTGTGTGATTCTGGTATGGACAGTGTTGCAGAAGGATTGGAATTGCTCTGGGTTGAGGTCTGCGTCGAGTTTGTTAGTCGGGGTCGCGACCTCGGGCAAGAAAGCTCCGAAGCTTACCTCGGTGGCATAGGTTGACGAGATTCTTCAACTGCGACGCCGCTCGTCGGCGTACATCGTCGCCCGCTCTGTTTGAGGTGGTTAGAAGCATGCGCAAGTTAGTCTGGTGGTTGCCCGCTTACCTCGATTTTAATTGCCGGCTGATGTAGTCGAGCTGCTCCAGGGCAGCAGGTTGTTGCTGCGTCATGGCAAAGAGTGCTCACATCCACCAAGGCTAGAGCACATGAGTGATATAGCGAAACTGCAAAATCGTAGACTTGGTAGCATGCGGTCGCGTAGCAAGCTTAGAGGCGTCGGACGTTGGTGGCTGGGGCAAGGAGATGGTGCGGGAGTTGCGCGAGGAGGGTGAGAAACTGGCTAAAAAGCGCCAAATAACATGTAGCGTACTTGAACCACAACCACGTCACACAATGAAGAAGGAATTTGCGTAGCGGAGGATGGATGTCGATGCCATGCGCCTCGTGCGCGAGCTTGCTTGGGGTCACATTGGGAGCTGGCCCCGGGACAGTGTGCGAAATGGCTGGTCACTGTGCTACCCATACGAAGACTGCCGCAAAATGGTCACCGACAAGGTCTAGGCACTGTGCGACGCCCGTCCCACCCACCACAGATGTCTGGACGCACTAGCGCAGTACAACGATTGCCATGAACGTAGAATATTGCCGTTTTTAACGAGACATCACCGTTTCCCATCACTACGACAAATTAATCGACATGGGTAACGACGGCGGCTCAATACCCAAACGCCGCGAGCTGGTCAAGAACGCTGCTCGAACGCCGACAGTGTCCGAACTCAAAGCGACCATTCTCGAATCCTTGGGCCACGCCTGGTCGCATTGTGCGCTCAGCGATGCGCCACTCGACATGGACACGGCAGTCTCGGACGCGTCCGGCCGGCTATACAACTACGAGGCCATCTTGAAGCACCTGATGCCGGACCAAGACGTTGCCGACCCCGTCGCTGCTCCGACAACAATTCGTTCTCTCCGCGACATCGTGCGGCTCAAGTTTCTGAACCGCGGCGACAAGTGGATTTGCCCAGTCTCATCAAAGGAACTAGGCCCGGCGACGCGATCGGTCTATATCGTACCGTGTGGGCATGCCTTTGCCGAAGTCGCCATTACTGAAATCAAGGAAGACCTCTGTCCCGAATGCAGCGAGCCGTTTGAGCGCGCAAACGTTGTCGCGATCCTGCCCACGACCGAGAAAGACCTGGCGCGACTAGTGGAGAGGATGGAGGACCTCAAATCGAGGGGGCTGTGCCATTCTCTGAAGAAAGAAAAATCTGAAAAGAAGAAGAAGCGTAAAGGTGGCGATATTTCCCAAGAAAATGGAGGCAACGGTGACGAAAGCGCGACAGCTGGAAATAAAAAGGCAAAAAAAGCAGATGCCAGGATAAGCGGTATCAATAATCCCATGGCTGCCGGCATCACCGCGCGTGTACTCGCAGAGCAGGACGAGAGGAACAGGCTGCGGCAGCTGGCACAGACTGGCTCACAAGGTGGTAGAAATGGAAGGCACTGATATTCATACTTTGGGACAATATCCGAAATGATACCCGGATGGCGTTTGGGGTTTTTATAGATGCATAAATTCGGCGCACATAGGATGAATCACCGATTGGTATTAAATTATTCGTTATTCTCTTACCTGAGGCTTATGCTATAGAAATGGGATAAACTCTTTCCTCACATCCCACTCGTCCTGTGCATTTTGAGGGTCTCGGAATATCGTCACCGTGACGCCAGCCTTGTCCCGCGCTCCGATCAAAGTATTCTTTATCCGTGAGCTCTCCATGACGCCGTACGGAGACTGCAGCTGGGTCGCCTCAACACCCACGTGGAGGACGTCAACCAGACTGCCACCGCTCTGGGCACCGCCAGCAGTGCTGGGTATTGTATTAAAGTTCAGAAGCTCTTCCAGCTGCTGCTCCTCTTCTATTTGACCCAGAGAAAGCGTAGGCGGATGGCCCAGCGGCACGTGCCAACCGCTTCTGTTGGAGTCTCTGCTGGAGGCCTCGGAGTGTGGTGTCCCATGATGTTCAGGGCTCAAGCCCACTGCGCTCTCCATGACCACTCCGCACCTTGCGGTGTGCTCCTCTTCCACCTCGATTGTGCGCAGTGCAATGGCAACGGCCTCGTTGGAGTGCCACAAGTTTTCTCGCCGGTTCTTCAGCTCGTCCTTCATGAGGAGCTTGACGGCGGCGCGACGCAGCAGCGGATGCCGGCATTTCTGCACGGTCCAGTAGATGGGCGCAATCAGCTCCGTCTCAAAGCTAAAGGAATGCAGCGGCGATCCCCGCTGCGCGCCTGCGATGATGGCCGCGCCCAGCGAGACAATGGTGCTAAAGGCGGGCATGTGCGCGTCGTAGGCGACTTCGTCTCTGCGCAGCGATGTGGAAACCCATATGACGGCAGTGTTGTAGTAGATGAGCAGCAGGTTTTGCGTGCAGACGTTTGCCTGTGTCATCTTCAAGCCGCTGGTGAGGACAATGAAGAGAACGTGCCAGTGAGTCAAGCGCGACAGCAGGGCTTGCTGCGCGGAAGCGAGATCCTGCAAGCTGCTGGCGTCTAGGTGACCCGCATAGATCTTTGGTCGAACGGCGGTGGTGAATCGCAGCGCTTCGTCCAGCAGGTGGTAGAGTAACGCCCTGGCTTCGGCTATGCTCTCGAATTTCGTGGGCGGCGCGATGGACGGACGCAGGTGCTCTGGCACGCCCGGGGGGTTGCCGCCGTATAGAAAGGCGGCGAGACCGAGCCGCGTGTACATGGGGACCAAGTCTCTCTTGACCATTTCGAGGGCGGGTGAAGACTCATCGCCGAGAGAGCCCAGTAGCTTCCGGCCTTCGATGATGTGCATCCTCGCGGCCTGTTCGTTGTCGAGCAGAAATTCCAGGCAGGTATACAAAACGCAAGCTAACAGCGGTATAGTTGGCCCGTCACTTGATTTCCATTGTCTGAGTGCCGCGATGGATTTCCCATATTCCGAGTAAATAAACGACGGCCCGGGGGTGTCGCCCTGCTCCCGGTGCGTACTGAGATGCTCGTGGAGGCTGCTCATTGCCAGGACGGCATGGCGCACAATGGGCTCCGTCACGCTCAGTCGCATAACCAAGCCGCCCCAAAACTCCGAGTCCATGATGTTGCCGAGTACTGGTGCTGACTGGCTGCGATAGTAGTCAAACGCGCGGCAGCCCTCGGGTGACTCAAAGTCCATGGTAGGCGTGAGGCGAATCAGACTGGCGGCATGAGCCGGCGGCGCGCGTCCAATATATCCTTCACACGGACGACCTGTCCTGACGCAGCGCAGACATGATGGTTTCGCCTCGTCGCACTTGACTTTGCGAACTCTAGGGTGCGGTCAGCGAAGAGGCCTCGGGCAGAGATGGGGTGGAACTTGCTTGCAGGTGAGGCAGCCTGTGCGGACCTTTTTGTTGCCTTTACGGCCAGACTGCTTCGGCGCGATTGAACCCGGATACAAATTCATTCTTAAGGAGGCGCAATGATATTTTTTGATGAGGCCAGACAATCTGGCATTGAAAGAGCCTTGCCGAAACTCGGTTGCTGACATCTGAGAGCACTAACATCAGCCTTATTCACAGCGACCCACGCCGCTGTATGCTAAATTTGGCACTAAAAGTTAGGGTTAACGGTGCCAAGCCAGCGTTGCGCTAGTACTAGTGGCAATGACTGGCTCAGCCACAGGCAGTTCTTGTTCAACGTATACACTGACCTATGTGTTGCGCGAAAGATGGACAAGGATAAAATGAGGCTAATATATTTTTCTTGTACATCTAATTCCACTAACTTGTCTCTCATACTGTGATTTATGTCTCTGTTGTACATAAAGATCAGTAGCGTAGAATTCGACCTGGAGTGTCTTGAGTACCTTAGTACCTGTCCGTACCTCCAGACAAGGCATACAAGGCACCCTGTTTGTCGTTCATGGTGGCCGGAAAATCCAGGCCTTGGTTATCACAAACCACAACACCGCAAAACAGTCGAGCCAATGGCTTTTACCGCGAAAGATACCGTGAAGCTGTCACCTGTATCGAGGGAAGCCACTATTCGCCGTAGCTTGTCGCCATGGGTGCATCTTGCTGCCGGCGCGTAAGTGCATACCAATAAGGGTGTAGTCAGGAGAAGCGTTGACATTGTTGCTAGGAGCGGCGGACTCGTCAATGCCATCGTCACATCTCCTCTCGATGTCCTGAGGACCCGAATGCAGTCTGACCTTTTCAACATGACCTCTACAAGCGAAGCCGTCCGCACTTCCCGCCTGGGGTTTCTCCGCCGTACACTTGCTGCCTTGAGCACAATGCACAGAACCGAGGGCTTCGGCGGCTTATTTCGCGGCCTCGTCCCCAGTTTGGTCGGCGTGGTGCCCGCCCAGGCCGTCAAATTCTACGTCTACGGAAACTGCAAGCGTCTCGGCGCGCAGGGTCTGGGCCGCAGCGAGAGCGATGCCCTGGTGCATGCGCAGGCAGCCGTCGCTGCGGGCCTCGCGACGGCGACGGTGACGAACCCGATATGGCTGGTCAAGACGAGGCTGCAGTTGGACAAGGACCAATCGCGCGGCGGCGCTCTCTCGAAACAGTACAGCGGCAGCATTGACTGCGTGCGAAAGATATGGAAGCATGAAGGCCTGCGCGGGTTTTACCGAGGACTCAGCGCGAGCTACCTGGGCACTCTCGAGACGGTCGTACATCTTGTTTTGTATGAACAGCTGAAGACGCTATCTGAAAAACAGAGCAATGAGGCTTCGCCATCTTCAACCGGCCGTACTGAACTTGGGAATTGGGTGAGTACGGCTGGGGCCGCGGGCTGCGCCAAGGTAGCAGCAGTTCTCCTCACATATCCCCACGAGGTAAGTACCCATGGTGAATGTGTTTACCTACAGGAGTAACGAACAGCCATGACAGGTCGTTCGCACTCGGTTGCGGCAGGCGCCGTCCGACAGCTTCGGCGCGGGAAACTCGAGTCTCGTGCAGTGCTGCCGATCGACATGGGCTCGCCAAGGTTGGCGTGGCTTCTACTCCGGGCTCACGGTGCACCTTGTGCGGTCGATTCCCTCTGCGGTGATTACCCTAGGCATATACGAGTTTGTGTTGAGATTGACCGGAGCTCACTCCAACAACTAGCTCTCTCCCGATTCGTTTCAAGACAGTAGCGTATGTGAGTTTCTCGAATTTACAATTGTTTATGGCACTTTTTTTAACCACCTGGTACATGTCGCAGACTCACGCCATCCAACATGTAATAATACCACATACTCATCTCCAATAATGCATCATGAAACTAGATGCAGTTCGTCAATCGCCAGTAGGGAAGTCCAGAGCCATCATCAATTGGACCGTGCGCGACCGCCCAGGCAAGGCGTAAGACATCATCGGCGTCGTCGATGCCAGCCCTACATAATTGATACTAGAAAGTGGGAAAGTGGGAATACACAAGTGGGCGGAGAACCGTTTCGCCCGACGGAGAAAAACCTGCTTCGGAAACCAATCACGTACTCCGTAGCTTCAGCAAGGAACTGGATCTGCGGAGAGGCCCAACGGCTGCCTAGAGACGACAGCCTTGTTCATGAAGCAGCGGCCATCACGAACGAATCACAGGGATCACAGGGGTCCAGCGGCGACGCCGACCGAGTTAGCCTCACTGCCCACCATGGCGTTTTGCGCCTACAGGGAGGGCCTCTGTCGCGACATGGATTGCAGATGCTTCGCATCGAACAGTCATAACTACACTGTCTGGCCCCAGAGCGGTACATAAATACCAACCCCAAGTGCTGTCACGTTAAGACTTCGGACCGTCACCCTGCCTACAAAATCGCGACAATGGAGGATTCGACACATCACGCTGATTCCGGTCCGGCGCCACGATCAACCAAGTCGCCCAAACCAAAGCCCGCCTTCCGCAAGCGCTTCCCCCAGAGCTTCCGCTTCCCTGCCAAATCGCTGCGCCGGCACTCGCGCGCCCATTCCGTGTGCAGCAGCGTGTCCTCGGCGCCCTTTCTCGACTCGGACACGGGCTACTCGGCCTCGACGGTCGCGAGCCCCATCAGCACCGTGCACGAGAGCGAGACCGAGGATCTCATCTACCCAACGTTTCTGGACGGCGTGGCCGAGAGGTATCGCCAGCATTTCGCCTCGTTTGATTCGGGATCGACCTGGGTCGGTGACAGGGACGACGAGGACAGGGTCAACCACGACAGGCTGGAAAAGACAATCAGGTCCGTTTTGGCGCGTTCAATGTCGCCAAAGCACTTTTTGAAAGAGGCCGATGAAGAGGAGCTGGAAAGGTGAGCCTTGCAGATTTGACTTTTGAGTAATCCTTTTTTAGTTGACATCTTTCTAGCCCAGCCACTGCACAACCGCTGAGTGATGATGCTAGTTTGATGTCAGGCAACTCCGAGGCCAACCCCGGCGAGCAATCCGATGGAGCTAGCCCTCGAACACTCATATGCGACGCCAGCTCTGTTATCACCGACGAGGCACCTGGGAGTGACGCGGACACGCTCGTCACCTACACCCTACAACTCGTCTACGGCATCGACGCCCCGGAGCAGGAGCCCCAAATCAGCAACCTGCGCCGCCTGTCTGCGCGCTACATCCGCGAACTCGGCGAAGCCATCTGGCAGTTACCCGCCGTCGACGGCGAGCAGTCCAACTCACAGGGCAACAACGCCTACTCCAGCAGCACATGCTCGCCCATCGACGACGGCCGCCGTGGCTCGCCGTCCGGGTCGTCGCAGTCGGGCGCCTCCAAGCGCAAGCAAGACGACGGCGCCGGCGACGAGCACGGCCAGGGCAACGCGCAGGGCGGATCCGGCTTCGGGCCCGCCAAGAAGGCCCGGCAGGGCGCGCGCGACGACGGGAACCTGCGATTGAGCTGCCCGTTCCGGAAGCGCAACCCGCAGCGCTTCAACGTCCGCGACCACCACAGCTGCGCCATGACCTATTTCCCCAAGTTTGCAGAGTTGAGGCAAGTCGGAAACGTGGAGAGTGGTTCTCCTATATACTAACGGTCTTATACAGGCAGCATATTGTCAAACAGCACAAGCGCGACGACCCCTCGGCCTTTGTCTGCGACAGATGCAATCGCGACTTTTGCTCGCGCAAGGAGCTGCGCGACCACCAGCGGCTGCCGAAAGAGCTCATGTGCGACTTGGCCGATCACGATCCCGAGTCGGGCATCGACGGACCAACGTGCAACAAGCTGCTGAGCCGAAAACGCGCCAGCGGCACGTCGCCTTTTGTGCAGTGGAAGGAAGTATGGAACCTGCTGTTTCCCGACGACGATGACCACACGATCCAAACCTTTAGTCAGTTTTGTTTTACCCCAGGGATGCCATAATTAACGCCATGCTAACCTGATCCAGACTTTACACCGGTGATTGAACACTTCGAGCTGGCGGCCCAGTTTCATGCATCGCTGAATAGGATGCGCGCCTCGCTGCAAGACGACATACCCCTTCCGACCGCGCTGGACGGGGCGTGCGCAAGACTGCATCGGTGCTTCGCCGAGACGGTCGAGCAGTGTCTCGGCGCCGCGCAGGGCCTGCCGTACGTCAACCGCAGCAACAAAAAGGCCGAGCTGCTCAGCAGGACCACCACGCAGCAGCAGCAGCAGCCGCCGCCGCCAGCCGCCCGGGACGCCAGCCAGCGGCTGCCATCCCACCTCGAGCCGCGGCCCGACTCGGGCGTCGCGCTCGACGACGGGTCCGAGGCGAGCGGGAGCGTCACGAGCAGCGGTGGCGTCCGCTACCCCAGCGACAGCGACGCAATCATGCTGCAGGGCGGCTTCGTGTTTGGCGGCGGCAGCGGCGGCGACGAGGCGAGCACGCCCGCGCTGTCGCTGCAGACGCCAACATCGCTGTATCACGCAGACATGATGCCTGCCGCGGCGCAGATGATGGGACAGGGCGGCCATGCCGTCACGTCGGAGCCGCAGACGGACTTGACCCAGCTCTGGACCGACGAGATGATGTACAACATGACAATGGTCGGACTGGCGGATGCCAACGCGGCACAGAACAGGACGTGGGAGGACACGTTATCGCACATGTCATTCCATGAATCGACGACGCCGAATTTATTTTAGCCAAGCACATGTGGACGGCCCGACACGCCATGCCCCACGCCTGCTCTCTTGGCCCGCCTTATTATACCGGCATGCGTCGGTGTGAGGCCTCGCTACTGACTCGTGCACAAGAGCACAGGCAGTACAATACACCCCTTGAAATAATGTAGCCAAGGTACCGGTACCCACCTCTCCGGCGCCGAAGTCACCAGAGGTTCCCCCGCCGCACCTACAGACTCCACGCCGCTCAAAATCACAATATATAGCTATACATAGAGGTAAATCTAAAAAGGACTATATAGCGTATATAGGCTAAAAACTATAGGCAGTGATTTTTAAAGCCTAGAAGAGTATTTTACCCTAGGAGTCGTTAGGTATGTGTAGTACTAGAGTATATTTAGTAACTTTCTTCTATGTGTTATCTAGTGGCTGGGCTCGAAAAAGGGCTCGAAAATGTGTTCTGGGTCACCTCTTTCTGTAGGAGTTCTGGGTCACAGCCAGAGGCCGTTTTTTGGCCAAAGAGGCACCCACTCGTGGCCTCTGACTGGCTGATCTGACCCTGGTTCGACCCTGGTCACGCCCCTGTAAAAAAGGTACATTGAAGACCAGGGGGTGGTAGGGGTAGCGACAGGGGTGCCTAAGAAATATGAAAGTTATGTCGAATTATGTCAAATTATACCGATTTTGAGTTCTGGGTCACTTTTTCGAAACTTAGCATCTGGGCATTAACTAGATACACACACCCACTAGCCCTCTAATCTTGTCATCAGCTGGGCTACGCCTAGCACTTTTAAGATGGCTGGCGCGCAGAGCCTTTTTATAGGTGCAATTCAACAACAACCTGCCAGTGTTGTTGTTGCTACGAATCCTTTTGCCTAATCCTTTTGCCTAATCCTTTTGCCTAATCCTTTTTGCCTAATCCTTTTTGCCTTCCGTGGCATAGTGAGTTGTGGGTTGTGCTGGTTGCCACTGTCAGCTCAACAAGTTTCAGCTTCACAAGTTATACCCTCCTATATTTCCTCTCTAATAAGCCCGCCTTTTATATACTACAAATAAAATGACTAATTTGTATATAGGCGTGGCCGAAGGCTTGACTAATCTCGGGAGGGAGCGTTTCTCCACGTAGTGAGCCCTGTTATCTCTCTCCCATGACAAGACGAGGATGTGGCGTGACGGACCTCTACCCCATCCATGTCTTAATCATTTAGTGGCAATTTCGGCGCTATCAAACCCTCAATCAGGCAATGGTAGGGGTACGGACGGACAAGGTAAAGCATGATTACCGAGCCATGTTCTCTCATGAGCCAATAACGAGGCCACATCGAGTCAAAGACTGACTCAATATTCGTGGCTATGTCCAACATAGCATATATTTGCATTGTATAATCTGATAAACCATTCTTCAACTATTCAGCAAGGTCCATAGTGCATGCGCTCAAGAAATTAAGGCTCATTTCGACCGTCATGGAGAGGGGAAACTCATTTACATGCCAATTGGGAATAACAAAACGGTAATTGCCATGAAACTTCACATAATCAAAGCGGATCTTGGGCACGTTGAATCCTCGACATATATAAATCCACCACCAACCTGCGCCATAGAATTTTTCATCCGAATCCTCTTATACTCAGAAGACGACATTCCTTCCAGTACTGTATTGAATTCAATCGTCATGACCCGTCTTTACCGATTGTCGGCACTGTGGCCGATTGTCGCTACTGCCTTGGCCACCGGAGCCTCAACCAACGCAGTAGGTACGAGCCAGAATGAAACCAGCTTCGTCAATCGCGCCTTCATCCTCGAGTGTGAAAGCCGCGGTGATGTAGAGACTCTTGCACAAGAGATTCAGCATCTAGGCGGCACTATTCGCCACAACTACACGACCGATACCTTCCTTGGTCTCTCTGCGGAGCTGGGGAGTGATGAGAAGTTTGACGACTTCTCTGCCGACATGAAAACTAGAAGCGGTATCAAGAATATGTGGCCAATTGCAACTGTTACCCTTCCGGAAGAGGCAACGACGGAGATGGAGGAAGTGAAAGAAAGTTTAGATAGGCGTGTGCGTGGCAGCCGCGGGATGAAGGCCCGCGCTCCCGAGACCAAGGCACCGTGGAACCATCTCATGACACAGGTTGACAAGCTCCATGCGGAAGGATACTCTGGCAAAGGCATCAAGATTGGCATTGTTGACACCGGTGTGAGTTTGCTTCTGCTGTCGTTACATAATAGTGTATAACCATGTCTACGCATGGAATACTTACAAACATTCCAGGTCAACTACAACATAAAGGCCCTTGGTGGTTGCTTCGGACCAAACTGTCGGGTTGCTTTTGGAGGTGTATTTGACGGAAAGACCTCCAAGTCGGATCCCATGGATCTACATGGGCACGGCACCATAGTTGCCAGCATCTTGGCCGGCTACAGCAAAGAGGACGGCTTTGTCGGCGCCGCGCCGAACGCAACTCTCGGGGCTTACAGAATCGGTGGTGTGGCCACTCACTCCGAAGACGGCATCATAGCGGCTTGGCTTCAGGCCGAAAAGGAAGGCATGCAGATTATTGTGTCCTCCTTTGGCATCCAGGGCGGCAACTGGGCACAGCGACCAACGGCGACGGTTGTGTCTCGCCTGGTTGCCAAGGGCATCCCCTGCATTGCCGCGATTGGCAACCAGAAAAACAATGGCCTGTTCAACGTCGTGAACCCGTCGTCTGGCCGAGGTGTGATCAGCGTCAACTCCTTCACACAGGATGGTTTCATTGCGATTATGTCAGCGGCCGGGCCGACGCCGGAGCTGGATATTAAGCCACAGGTCGGTGCGCCGGGTGACAGTGTGCCGGTTGCCTACGAAGACGGCAGTTACGGCAGTGATAGCGGCACCTCGTTCGCGGCGCCGCTTGTCGCTGGCATTATTGCTCTCATCGCCGAAGCCAGGGGCACGTTCGACCCGGCACTGATTGAGTCTCTTCTCATGTCCACAGCTGAGGCGCGGGGCGAGCCCGTTTACTCCGTCGCCCTCCAGGGCGGCGGCCTCGTCCAAGCTTGGGACGCTGCTCATGCCACAACCACGGTGCAGCCTGCCAGTCTTGCTTTCAACGACACCGAGAACCGCATGCCCAAGCTTAGCCTGAAGATTACGAACACGGCCAAATCAGACGTTCAGTACGAACTTTCCAGCATCTTTGCCGACTCTATTTATACTCTGGATACGAACGGTAAGAAGCCATGGGGGACTTCACAAGAAACCGTCAAGAGTTCGGGCCTGATCAAGCTCAGCCAGAGCACCTTTACTCTCAAGCCAGACCAGTCGACTTCTGTCGATGTCTCCGCCGCGGACCCGGAGGGGGTTGACGCCAAACGCCTGCCGGTATGGTCTGGCTATATTAAGATCCAGGAAGTTGGTTCTGCGAACAAAACGCTGACTGTCCCGTACCTTGGGGTGGCAGGCTCGCTTCGCTCAGTGACCCTCATGGAGAAGGCCGGCTACATTGCGGTTCGAAACCAGAACAGGCCAGCTGCCTTGAAATATGACAAGATTTACTCTACTCCAGTTGTTGCAGCAGACCCTCCGTCCATGGCTTCTTCAGGGCTCGGTCGGATTGAGAATTTCCAGTGGCCCGCCAACACCATCCACGGCGATCCCGTTGCCTATTTTGAAATCACCATCGGAACGCCGCAGATTGAAGTCCACGTCGTCCCTATGGACATTTGCCCAAAGCAGCCCAACCAAAAGCTGACGGTTGGCAAAGCCTGTGTTCCCGAGGCGAGCCTGGTCGAGGTTGCAGGCATCAGGTCCCTCGGCGTGATGGCCGACTATGCGCATCATCACCGGGGCCGTGGTTATGCAGAGAACGGCTTTGTGTTCAAGGGCCTTCTCGAGTCTGGCGAGTATGTACCGCCAGGCAGATACAAGTTTGTCGCTCGAGCCCTGAGTCTTCTCGGGGATGCCAATAATGCAGCCGACTGGCAGGTGCAAGAGACACATGTGTTTACCTTTGGGTATGAATCGAACCTGATTGACGTGCAGTGAGTGGGCAAGAATTCAATGACGGCTGGCAAGTTGTAGCTGTTGGCTGAGTTGTAGCTGCTGGCTGACGGAGCAGCCTATTACGGGTATGCCTTTCTTCTTTCCTTTCTTATTCTCCTTTTTTTCTTACGAAACCTTATCTTCCACAATTCAAATTCTCTTGGCCGTCTTCCAGCCCCCCCCCCTGGTAGAACGTGACTGAAAGACAGACGCCCGCGTCTACCATTTTCGCTAAAAACACGCGTAAGCAATGACGACGCCCTCTAAAATGCCACAAGAAATAAAAAAACAAGGAGTACACGTCTAGTCGTCCATGAAATGATTTGTAAAGTCGTCATTTGTCCACTCGTGGTTCTCTTCACGGGTGGCCGCCGCGCGGCTCAACCGGCGGCACCGCCGAGTTCGGTCTCGTATCGCGCCTCACATCATACATCATCTCGACCCTGACGCCATTGTTATCGTCAAACAGGCCGTCGAAGCTGTCGCCGCGCGAGCGGACCCTCTCTACCGTCGTCTTCGTCTTGATAGAGAGGTGCGCGAGCGCGCGCAGCTCGGCGAGCTCGGCGTCGTTCTTGTCCGTGTCGTCGGCGTGCGAGGGCAGTCGGGCGCTGCCTCTCTGTGAGCTGCGCGCGTGCTTGGACGACGACGACGAGGACACGGCGCTCTTGACGCTGCCGGCGGCGCGGCGGCACCAGGCGAGCACGGGCCGCAGCGTCGGGATGCTGCCGCAGACAATCATGAGGAACAGCTCGCCGGTGACCCAGACAAAGATGTCGTACGTGGCCCAGGTCTGGTCGGTGCGGTCGGCGAGCGCGGCGAGGTGCCGCGTCTTGATGCCGGAGCAGAGCGAGGTGAGGATGTTGAGGCCAAACACGACGGTCAGCTGCGTCTTCTCCGTCGTCGTGTTGTTGAGCTGCCAGAAGATGGTGGCGGGGATGAGGGCGAGGCTGGCGTCGGTCAAGGTGTTGAATGCTGCGAGGCGTTAGAGAGGGGTCTCCGGCTTGATGATGAGGATTCATACCGCCGGTAAAGGTTCCAAAAGAGGACATGACGTGAGGGTCGATGCACCGGCCCGGGACGCGCTGGTCCCAGAGCGCCCGCGCCGGCGCGCACTGCGCAAAGGTGAGCGCGGCGCAGGCGACGGCGACGAGACTCGCCAGCGTCACGGGCACGACCCAGAGGAAGACGCGCTGCCAGCGCAGCTCCGTCAGCCGGATGATGGCGAGCAGCAGCGCCGCGACCGAGATCTTGCCGGCGGCCACGCCGAGGATGCCAAACACCTGGCTGAGCCAGTTGAGAAACAGCACGCTCGCGACATTGTCCGGCCCGGTCCGGGCGACGTCACCAATGTGCATCGAGCCGCCCTTTTGCGCGTACAGCGTCAAGACGACGCTCCATCCGATAAAACATAGCTAACACACAAAAAACATCAACGGGTTAGGCACTGATGCAAGGGCACGGCCCGGACGGCAAGTACAACGGCATACTTACCATGGCGAATATCATGAAAATGTCGTCCCAGCCAAACATGCGGTTGCGCGTGCGGACAACGACGCGCAGCACGGCGGTGATGCCGGCCAGCGTCGTCAGCAACCACAGGATGAGGACGAGCCCCGGGCCGCGATCCGGGACGTCACCGCCCCTCGGTTCGACACCACCCATAGCGGGGGCGGATTCTATTGGAAAAAGAAGACAGTCCGGCGCAGCGGTCGTTTGTCGATAATCAAGCTGCAGTCGATTTTGGTTTTATGCAAGGAGGAAGTGTCACCGGTGCGCAGAGAGAACGGTCAGCTTACACTGTGCAGCACGACCAGTGGGAGGCGCGCCTCATTTTACTATGAAGGATCCTCGAGAAGTAGAGCAAAACGGGTTAAATCGTGAGCTAGTTTTCTTGGTCCACTGAAGACTGGGGACCAAGCTCGTTTCGTTTCTGTCCCGTCCCTCATCCCCCTGGTTAGCTTGTTGGAATGTGGGCTGGCGAGCCGTCCCGAGGGGGGGCCACGGGGTTAGTTCGAAGAAAGAAAAGAGAAAAAATTGGAAAAGAGGAGAAAATGAAGAACTGGCGCAGAGTCTCGCGAGGCTAGTTTAGAGCTCTGTAGCAGATATGTGTTGCCTTCTGTGCAGGTTCAAGCGTCCAGATCAAGCCATCCGAGATGGGAACTGTCGCCCTCGGCAAATTCGTTCCCTGCACAAGCCAACAGGGGGTTTCTAATTATACCGGGGGGGCCTTGGGGGCGAACGAGTCAATAATACCAGGCCTCACTAGTTAGTTAGTCATAGACAAGGAGCGACGTCCGCTTGTGCACCTAGCTTGTACATAGGCATGAATCTATTATTCTGCATGGATACGAACATGCTACGAGTATATTCACCGAGTACAAAAACGACTCTGCCCACATCCAACCGAGCCATGACGCCACGGCCCACGAGCGAGTCGTAGAGTGTGGACGGCCTCGCTAGTCTATTCGCACGTAGCCAGCTGGTAAAGTGGCTCGGCCCGGGCTAAATCCAAGGCGGCCAACCCGGCGCCGAGAAAGTTGGAGGCGTTGAGACTTGTCTCAGCCACGCCATGTGAAGGAAAAGCACAGCCTGTCTCAGTCGGAGTAATGCGACAAACTGGTTCGCGACAAAAACGACGAAATGCAAGTCCGAGGAACGACCTTGTCTGTAACTAGAGGTATCGGACCATGATACTATAACCCGTTAATTTAACCCCGGTTTCTCGCATGGCAAGTTGCCAAGGAAAACCACGTTCCCACTCCCACGTTTGAGGTTTGCCCCCAAAATGGGCCAATTCAACCGAGTATTATTAACATTCATAACAGCATCTGATTGGAAACCGGGTGTAGCTGCCCCTCTTAGCAACGACTAAGTGGTTCTCATATCCCCACACTTGTCGTCCGAATCCTTCTTCGACCCCTCAGGCTTCAAGCCGCCTCCGTCCCGTTTATTCTCATGACAAACTAGTAGTTAGTGTATCCCGTTGGAGGGAGGGGGGCGGTTTGCTCATTTGATTTGCGGAGAAGAGACATTAAAGAAAGAGACATTAAAGAAAGAGACAGACAGCCAGTATCCGTAGGGACATAAACAAGGAAACTCACCCAACAACACGCAAAAGCAACAATCTCAGCCAAGTCACTACGCATTCGTACTAGATTCTGCATAGACCCCGTCACATCGCCCGCTTCTCCGAGACATACAAGGTCATGGGCTCCTCTACATCAGCGCCCACCCCCGTCGGCGACATCGACGCCCTCATCACCCAGCTGCAGGCCATCATCGCCGACCCTTCAGGCTGCACCACGGGCCTCGACGACACCACGCGACAGCGACTCAAGCAGCTGACGCGCGCCGCCTCGGTCGCTCTCGAAGAGCCCTTTGAGACGGTCCAGCGGCTTGTCTATTCCGTGAGTTTTTTCTTCCTTCTCGCACGCCACTGGGCATTTGATGCGGAAAAATATTTCTCTTGTCACACTTGCACAAGACGCCTTCTGTGAACTAAGATGCTTTGTTTTTTCTTCTCAGCCGCTGCCGTTAATCACCACGCGCATCGCGCAAAAGCACAACAT